AGGAAGGGTCAGTTTGACCCAATTTAGAGAGAATTCTTCTTTTCTTTTGAATTGCACTTATAAGATGAAGTGGGTCTAAAATGTAATCTTCGGCATTGTTTTATGTTTGGAACAACATCAGACCTGCCAACATGTACGCATTTTACGCTGGTATGATTTCTTACGCTAACTACGCAAAAAGCTGGCGACGCCAAGCAATACTCAAATCCAACAGCAGGAGGCAGCAGCGACTAACCTACCAAAAGCAAAAGAAGAAGAAGAGTTTGACCAATCAGAGCGCAGGATTGAACGTCAATCTCAAGCGGGGAGGATGGATGATGATTGACAGGCGTAATGGCGTAATGGCGTAATATGAAGACCAGCTGGATGTTATCCTCCTCACTGCGGCTCACTGCGGCTCACTGCTGCCTCTACTGAGGACTAACTTTTAACTCCTTAGCAAAGGTAAATAAACGACTGGGGTGATGTGACAGGTTGAAATTGGTAATTATTTAAAGTTAATAACAAGCTAGCTTGTTTGTTCAGTGCAATTAGCAAAGTTACGTTACGTTACGTTACGTTACGTTACGTTACGTTTACTTGTTTTAGCTTGTTAAACTTCTTATAGTATTCATAATATTAATTATTATTGCAGCCAAACCTGTAACCGTAATGAGAGGAGCACATCATGATGAAGAAGAGAATGTATACGCAACAGAAATAAAGTAGAAAGTTACCTGGAGGTGCGTGGTGCGTGCGTGCGTGTGTGTGTGTGTGTGTGTGTGCGTGTGTGTAGGTGTGTGTGTGTGTGTGTATGTGTGTGTGTATGTGTGTGTGTATGTGTGTGTGCGTGTGTGTATGTGTGTGTGCGTGTGTGTATGTGTATGTATGTGTGTGTATGTGTGTGTGTGTGTGCGCGTGTTGGCACTGTGTAGCCTTTAACCATATACATTACCATACATGTTCAAGCACGCACAAGTATTGGCAGCAAAATGTCAAGAATATCAAAGTAGTCATAAATACTGATTTATTAACATGTGCATTTTAAAGTTGTCAACACCATGCTAATCTTAATTTAGCTCTCCGTTTGGGTAGTTTGCAGTAGGTAACCTTAATAAAAGTAACTTTTTGTCATCAGTAGAACATGAGACAGATAATCTGTGAAAGAATCAGGTTCCTCCGCCTCCTCCTGGTGCTCCTACTGAAGCTTCTTGTTTGCCATTAGGAGCAGATTATCTGTCTCACTGTCAGGATATAGTGAAAGTTTCAGCAAATATGACGGAAATTTTTTATTTTATTTTATGAAGATGATCAAAAGTTTGAAATATAAAATATTGATCTGAAAATTAACTATAGCTGTGAAATAAATGCAATGGTGTAGAAAGTAATATATTTTCCACTAAAATGTAGCGGAGTATACGGACAAAGCATAAAATGGAAATAATTGTTTTCCTCATTGTCGACTTATATGTTGAATAACTTAATTCAATTCAATTTTATTTGTATAGCACCAATTCATAACAGAAGTTATCTCAGGACACTTTTCAAATAGAGCAGGTCTAGACCGAACTCTTTATAACATTAATTACAGAGACCCAACAGTACCACCATGAGCAAGACCTTGGCGACAAGGGCAAGGAAAAACTTCCTTTTAAGAGGCAGAAACCTAGGACAGATCCTTCGGCTCTAGGTGGGTGGTCGTCTGTCTCGACCAGTTTGGGTGAGAGAGAGAGAGAGAGAGAGAGAGAGAGAGAACAGGTAACAACAGAAGGACAGAGACAGAGACAAAGGTGCACAGCAACAACAGTAGCAACAACTACACTAATAGTAGTGACTGATGATGATGATGAATATGAAGAAGATGATGACGACGATGATGACAACAACAACGATGGGGGACAATGAGCAGTGACAATAGTAATAATAGTAACTGTAGTAATAATAATAATGTTAATAATAATAATAACAATAATATCAGTGATATTAGCAATGGCAATCTAGCAGGACCATGGCAGGAGGCTCCACCAGGATCCATGAGAACCTGCGAGACGAGAAAGCACAAGAACTCCGGGGAAGAAGTGAAGTTAGTAACATGCATTAATGGAACATGAATGAGTGCAGAAAGAGAGAGGAAGAGAGGAGCTCAGTGCACCATGGGAAATCCCCCGATAGTCTAGGCCTATAGCAGCATAACTAAGGGATGGTTCAGGACTCACCTGATCCAGCCCTAACTATAAGCTTTATCAAAGAGGAATGTCTTAAGCCTACTCTTGAATGTGGTGAGGGTGTCTGCCTCCCGAACCACAACTGGAAGCTGGTTCCACAGGAGAGGAGCTTGGTAACTGAAGGCTCTGGCTCCTGCTCTACTTTTAGAGACTATAGGAACCACAAGTAGCCCAGCATTCAGAGAACGTAGTGTTCTAGAGGGGTAATAGGGTACTATGAGCTCTTTAAGATATGAAGGGGCCTGACCATGAAGAGCTTTATAGGTGAGGAGGAGGATTTTAAATTCTATTCTACATTTTACAGGGAGCCAATGCAGAGAAGCTAGTACAGGAGAGATGTGATCTCTTTTTCTAGTTCCTGTCAGTACTCGTGCTGCAGCGTTCTGAATTAATTGGAGCGTTTTAATGGACTTATTGGGGCAACCTGATAATAAAGAGTTGCAGTAATCCAGCCTTGAAGTAACAAATGCATGGATTAGTTTTTCTGCATCTGTCTGTGATAGTATGTGTCTGATTTTTGTAATATTACGTAAATGAAAGAAGGCAGTCCTAGAGGTCTGCTTTATGTGGGAGTTAAATGACAAATCCTGATCAAAGATAACTCCAAGATTCCTGACAGTGGTGCTAGAGGCCAAGTTAATGCCATCTAGAGTAACTATATCTTTAGACAGTGAGTCTCTAAGGTTTTTGGGGCCAAGAACAAGAATTTCGTTTAACATCAGAAAATTGCAGCTCATCCAGGATTTTATGTCCTTAAGACATGTATCTTTTTTTGTTTGTTAATTTCATCAGGCTTGATTGACAGGTATAGCAGTGACTGTAGAATTTATTCTTTTATTATTCTCCCAGGGTTGGCAGGTCTGCAATAGTAATATTACTGTCGACAATAAGAGTATGAATAAAGACAAATAGATTGAAAGACGCATCATTTCTGTTACGGAGATGTTTGATGAGATGAAGCCGTTATTCAAGTTTAATCCTGTTCAGTAAAAGACAACACAATTAGTTCTATAACTAAAGCCATTCCTACAAGTATAACATCCATTCCATCCATTATCTATAGCTGCTTATCAAATATAACAGTTAATGAGATGTTGAAGGTATCACCATGTAAACTCAACAGAACCAATGCCATCTAGAGTAACTATATCTTTAGACAGTGAGTCTCTAAGGTTTTTGGGGCCAAGAACAAGAATTTCGTTTAACATCAGAAAATTGCAGCTCATCCAGGATTTTATGTCCTTAAGACATGTATCTTTTTTTGTTTGTTAATTTCATCAGGCTTGATTGACAGGTATAGCAGTGACTGTAGAATTTATTCTCCCAGGGTTGGCAGGTCTGCAATAGTAATATTACTGTCGACAATAAGAGTATGAATAAAGACAAATAGATTGAAAGACGCATCATTTCTGTTACGGAGATGTTTGATGAGATGAAGCCGTTATTCAAGTTTAATCCTGTTCAGTAAAAGACAACACAATTAGTTCTATAACTAAAGCCATTCCTACAAGTATAACATCCATTCCATCCATTATCTATAGCTGCTTATCAAATATAACAGTTAATGAGATGTTGAAGGTATCACCATGTAAACTCAACAGAACCCTGTTTAAGGCTCAGTCCATTCCAAAAAGTACAAACAAACATTTAAGGAACACCTTGGGAGTTAGCTTACACTGATGAAATACATTGTTAACTCCTTTAAAACTGTAGTTTAAATAACAGAAGAGAATTTATTTAACGATTTTACGTAATTTACCATTTCTAAACTGACTATCAACAATAAATGTACATTTTGTGATGAGTATATGAGCATCAAGTGGACAAATATTTATTTTCAGTAAAACATGGCCTCCTGTTGTTGTTGGGAAAAGCCATAACTGTAACATAACATTAACCAGGGTTCCCACGCATCCTAGGAAACATGGAAAACCTTGAAATATAGCCACTAGTTTTCCAGTCATGGAAACACCTGGAACTTAAAACAAACAAATTAAACAAAAATTCTGGAAATAATTTATGTTGTCCTGGAAAAATTAAATAGTATTTTAGCTCCTTGCCCAAATTGCCTACATAAACCTGGGTGCGTATTTTGTTGGAAACTCATCTGTTGGTACGATTTGTTGTGCAGTGTTACTCTTTACCAGATGGTAAACAAATAAAAGCTCATTCTTCATTTCAGTCCCATGTCAGTCCGTCTAGCGCTAGACAGTAGACATGGAGTGGAACGGATTTGCAGTTATCTTTTCAACGCCCAGTCATTTTCTTCCCGGAGCCATAAGAAAGAATTCTCACTGGAAATGTTGTAAATGTTCACTTCTACATTCATACAGCCTATTAATGATCACATTTGTTTTTGCACATGATGTTAATTGTAACAAACACAGTTGGGGTGAGAACAGGAAAGCAAGCTAATGTGGAGTGTATGATATTCATCGTGAACCCTGCATTATTAAAAAAATGTGTCAACCGGCCTACTGGTAAATTCTGACCTGTATTGTGAAGAAAATGTAGAGGAAAATGGTTTCTTAAAAAGGGCGTGAAACTTTGAACGCTTGGTGTTTTATTGTTAATCACATTCCCCTAATGGGTGCATGTCACGCAAAGCCGTGAATGTTGGTTTTTGATAGAATAAAACTACAAAAGACCTCCTAAAAGTCATTAAGACCAGTGTATACACACAATGCTGTATTATGAATTAAACCTTTTTATTTCTTTTTTTACATATTTAATTAATATTCAGTCATTAAGTATTACTTTTATATTTTATTTGTACTTGTGTACTGCTGAAGGATCTATATATTGCATTTTAAAATAACTGCAGTGCCATCTTGTGGTTGCAAAAAATTACAATTAAGCTTTTTATTAACCATACAGTGCTTTTATTGTGAAATGAACTACTCCTTTCCCATCATCATAAAAGTCCATTGGACTGTTTCATTTAGATTTCTTAAAAACTGAGATGAGAAAAGCAAACATTTTACAAAATGATATTGTCTAAAGCATTCTGTTTACACTGTTGTAAGTGTGTTTTTCTCTCGTATTCTTCCATGTTCAAATCATGTCACAGTAAAGGTAGGTACAAAAAGTTTAATTCACCGAAACCTTTTATCTGAAGTAAAAGGCCTATTTTAAACACATGGAAAGACTTGTCACATGTTGACTTTTCACCAATGGGACACAAGTCCTCAGAGGAAGACACATCAGTAGGCATCAGGTAGGCACCTCCAGTTCTCGTGGGAAGAGAAAAAGGGGCGAGAACCTGTTCGTCCTGGCTCTTTTAAGGGCCCTTCTGTAAATGTAGCGCTTCCCGAAGCGGAGGCCGAACGGGTTGAAGTTGAATTTACTCCTGCGGTCGTTGCACAGGAGCTGCCGCTGCTCCTCGTTCTCTCTCAGAGAGAAACACGGGCTGGAATCCTCCCCAAAAAACTCTCCTGCAGTCCTCCTCCTGAGCGCAGAGAGGAGTGAACCTGAGGAGAACAGCAGCAAACATCAGCTCACAGCTGGACACATACACACCTGCAGTCTGCTGCTGGGAGAGCGTCTCTTGTCTCATCTCAGAATGTAAAGAAAACAGCAGCTTTATTCCATAATGTCATTAAATGTGCAACAAGTGCTCCCATCAGTATCTGTTTGTGTATTTGGTTATCAATAATGTACATTGTGGAAGTATCACATGATATTCACGTTTGACTGACAGTGATGAAGTTATTTCAAAGGTTTTGTCTGTGCACATGTAATGATTGCTGTGCATTCTGGGTCATTTTGTTGGGTGTTAGGTCTAATGGTTATTCTGAGACTGTAGTTTTGTATTACTGATCTAAGACACTATTGTAATCAATAGAATGAAAACAAACAGAACTAAAACCTGTGAACAAAAACCTAAACCTTGAAATGAGGTATTTTGTTCAAGATAAAGTCAAGAATAAATGGTAATGCAAGCCAAAAGACTGAAACTTGGAATAAGATATTTTTCTCTTGAAACGTCAGAGCTTAAATGATTTCAGTCTCACTTATTTAGAAATAGAGTTTTTACAGTGTACTGTTTCCTTACTGCACACTGGTTTTGGGGAAGTCTTTAAAACAAAATCTAGACATTCATGTTTGGAAATAGATTACTACAGTATAGAGGACTAAAGCCTCCATTATAATAAATTGATTAATTAGTGACTTCAATAAATAAAATAATACAGACAGAAATGTAGAAATAAAAGCCTAAATTAATAAATAAACGTGCAAAGTGATTTAAAGATAAATTAATATTTATTATTTCATATTTATTCTTTTCTGCTTACATTTATTTCTGTATTTCTCTACCCATATGTTAATGAGTGGGTGTATCCTGATTATTCAGGCATTAGCAATCAAACCCACAGAACAGTACCCCTCCTTAACACATGGACAAAGAAATGCAGAAATTAATAAGAACAGAAATACATGTAAACAGAAAAGAATACATTTGGAAATAATTAAATCTGAAAACAGATATCTGAATACAAAAATAAGTAATTTGTCAAATAAATGAATACATTTATTTATTTTTTCTATTTCCGTGTATATTTTTATATTCTTTAAATTAGCATTTTGGCATTTATTTCTACCTTTCTGTCTTTATTATTATATGCTAATATATTATTTTTATCTATCATTAATTTGTTTATTTATTATGATGGCAGCTTTAGTCCTCCATACCACAGTAGTCAAGAAAATTCATGTGTGTGTTCATTGGTGTGTTCAAATGACTTTTTCTTTATCTATAAAATAACAGATTCCATAAGTTGATCCTATGTTTTGTATGTAAAATCACAATCAGTAAAGCAAGTATAATTGTCAAATAAATATAGTGAGTAAAACAACAGTATTTCTCTAAAGTTTAGTAGAAAACGGAATAAAAAGGAAATATTCAATCAAGTTAAACTACCTAAGAATACTGTAACTGTAGGCTCCATGCTATTACTGATATTTTTAAATGTAAGAATTCATCAGGGGAATTTCTAAAAATCTATAATATAAGAAATCAGAAGTTGATCAAATGTTTTATATGTAAAATGGTAATCAGCAAAGTAACTATGGCTGTTAAAGACAAAGTGGAGTAAAAAGTACACTATTTACCTCTGACATGCATAGAAAATAGCTTTAAAATAAAAGTATCTAAAAATGTTCATTATTTAAAGTTAATATTCGTCTTATAGGTTTCCCACCTGTTGCTCCTGTCCTCTGTGCAGAGTCGAGTTCCGGCAGAGCTGCTCCCACGCTCCCTCCATCCTGACCCACGATCAGCCCGCACACCACGACCAGAGCCACGAGCCTCATCCTCTGTGTGTGTGTCTCCGAACAGTGTGAGTGTTCTCAGCAGGTACTAACACTTCCATACTTATCAGACCTGGTTTTATATTATATATCCTCCAGGTGACCTCCTGCAGCTCACAGCCAATCACAGCCACTCTGCGTCTCTGTGCTGCAAATTGCGGAGCTGGATGCTCTTAAAGTGCATCATCCATTAGCTCTTCTGGGAAATGTTGACAGCTCAGTTTGATGCTGGGATCATTCAGCGGGATAATGTGTTACTGCATGCTGAAAAATGGTGATGTGACGAGCATTTTAAAAGCAAATAAGTGATGGGAACTGGTCTAAAACACCAGGATGTGTAATTGCACAGTCCAGTTTGGCTACAGTGATGCAGAGAGGAGCAACAGAAGGGTGGACTGGCTGGCATAATTTGAAGGCATATGCATTCAAACAGACATAGGCCTATATTACTGATGTATGAGTATTAACACCTTTCTAGCCTGACACCACAAACTTACATGATACACCTATACAAATGACTGTTACTCAGGAGACCTGTCTGACGTTTATAGACGAAACAGCGGTCGTCAGCCTCATTCGGGGCGGTGGCGAGTATGCATTCAAATGGGAGGTTAAACAGCTGGCCCTCTGTTGCGGTCAGAACTACCTGGAGCTTAACACACTCAAAATTGTTGAGATGACAGTGAACTTCAACAACATAGTGTCTGCTATAGAAACCTTCAGGTTTTTGGTATCCACAATGTCCCAGGACCTAAAGCCAGAGTCCGGCACAGACACCATCCTCAAGACAGCCCAGCAGAGGTTGAACTGTTGATCTGTTCTCTGCACATCCACAGGTTTATATACCCCAAAAGCATGGAAGACTATTTAAAGCTATATATCTGAATAGTCTTTTATCCCTCTGAGCAACAGTTAAATAAGAATATCAGAAATCAGCAGTCATGGATTAAAGACACTGGAAGCATCAAAATCTGCAGATTTAAACGAGAACAGTGAAGTTCTCAGTAATGTCTCTAACAAGCTGCAGTTAACAGGCATGTTGCTTTAGCAAAACTATTCTTCAAACTTCACAATAGAAACACAAGTTTGATCTAGAGTTGGCACTATTAAATATCAGCTGAACCAGGGATGTCACGAGAACTAATACTTCGGTACCAAGTCAAAATTCTGAAAACATGACGGTACTCGTTTTTCTACCGTACTGCAGGTACCGATTGGGCTGAGGATACAATTCTTCCAGACCTGACAGCACAGTATATATACATACATATTCTGGTCTGCCATTAAATGCCACAGGAAGAAGAACACAGCTGTACAGGTGACTAACTCGTGAAACCTTTTTTATTAGTTATTTGAGTATAAAATATTATATATAATAATATTAATATATTATGTATAACAGGCATTTTGTACTTATTGCAATGCAGAGCTATTCACCTGTATTATTAAGGAAAAGTATTGATCAGGACTCTGTATCAGCAGATATTAAACGGGGATCAGGGACAAAATAACTGAATTGGGACATTTTTACCATGGTATTGAATTGGTATCAAGAATCGTGGAATTTCACTGGTATTGGTATCAACTACTACATTTCTGGTATATTGACATCCCTAAACTGAACATACTATGGACCGACAGATCACAAACCTGTTCAATCTGACCACTGAGCAGACTGCAGAGGGCCCAAAGACAAACCAGTTCCCAAAATATTTAGCCCAGTTGGTTAAATAATGACCATGGGTTTAATTTGGTGTTAGAATTACACTGTTATTTTTTTATCAGGAGCAATTTGGAGTTCAGTATTGTCAAGTAAGTTGAGATCCCTGACCCGCTACCCACTGTGGAAAGCTGGGGACTTTCTATCATCGGTCTCTACATCGCTTTGCTGTGATACTTTGACATACAGGAGGAGCCAGGGATCAAACTGACAACCTTCTGATTAGTGGATGACCCGCTCTGCCTCCTGAGCCACAGCTGCCCCTTTGGCAATTGTCAAATGGCAATTTGCAAGTAAGTACAGAGCAACATGTGAAATGCGTAGTTCGCTCCTTTTTGTTTTGTTTTTAATGTAATAAAATGGTCAGTCCTATCCCCGTGTGCGCTGGAACATTTTGGTTTGCTCTGCACCTTTTCTTCTTAAGGACAAAATAATTGACAACAATCTATTTTTAAAGAGCACAAAATCAAGTAGTCCACACTACATTAATGATGCTTACATTCTTGATTGGATACGTCACCATGGCGACATCCTTTGTGAATATTCTCTCAGTGAGAGTGTTTCCCCCTCTCCTAGTGGACAGCCCTGCTTTCATTCATACATTTCACAATCACATTCAGTTCATCACACACAAGTCCACCAATATCTGTGTGTGTGTGTGTGTGTGTGTGTGTGTGTGTGTGTGTGTGTGTGTGTGTGTGTGTGTTTGTGGAAGGTAAACGTCCCCTCCTTCTTGCTGGAGGTCAGCCTCAGTAGGCGGGGCGTCAGTGCCTCTTATCTTGTCCTGTTGCATTCTGGAGGACTGTCCCTGCTGAGCCCAGGACCTCCACCTAGCAGGCCTGTTTGTAGGGTTGGGGTTATTCCTCTTCTAAGATGCCGCTGTCGCGTTCCCTGTCCATGACGTCCCTGAGCGGCCTGCTGCCGGCCTGGGAGGAGGACGAGCTGCCCGTGGAGGACCTGCTGCTCTTCGAGGTGGCCTGGGAGGTCACCAACAAAGGTAAGATCACAAGTGTAATGGTGCTTTGGTTTCCCAACAAAATGAGATGTTTGAACCAAGCATGAGTTCAGCTACAGAAGGCCTTCAGAGTACTGCCAAAATGATACAATGCAAATATTGTGTTTCATATTCTAGGATACACAGGCAGGCTGTTTATTTCAAATATCTGAATATTGTCTTTATTATCATTTTGAATTGACTTTGGCACTGATTGCATAATAACAACTGAATATAAATTCCATACGGAGGATTTTACTAAAAGCAACAAATGAAATACGTCCAATAATTCTTACTCAAGGTCTATCTGTCTGTCTGTCTGTCTGTCTGTCTGTGTGGCAGTACTGGTATTATTTTGTGTAAAAGTTGGCCTCTTTGCCCCATAAAGAACAAATATTGGAAAGTGTGCAGACAGAGTCTGCTCCCTCTGAAGAGCTAAACATTAAACTGCAGATAAGTGGTGACAGTGGAACAGCTATGGCTTTGGCTGCAATAGCCTGATGCTAATGCGTGTCAGAGGATGGTGAAAATTTGATGAGGACTGGATGAATACATTGTACCTTTTATAATGATTATATTAACATGGATTGTGTTTACAGGGGTCAGTTTCAGCCTGCTTTGACTCTTGACAGCAGTTAAGGTGGCAATGGTCTGCCAATCACTGCACCGACGTACATTTAGAAAGTCACGTTTCGGCACCAGTATGTCCTGTGGTGTGTAAGGCCCAATATAACTGAATATTTCGAATATTTACTGTTAAATAATGTTAAAGAAGTTAGAAAAGTTTTGAAATAAACTAATAATAATTAATGATAATTTTCTTTTCACCCAAAGCACCCAAATAATGAAATCAAAATGAAAATCAGGTTCACAGTTCACTGTTTTTTAAATAACAGTAAAAAGAAGAAACAGAATTTTGTGTTTTTAAAACTTTTAAAAAGGTTTTCTAATGAGGAAAAGTGAATTATCTCATTATAATTAGCTCTCAAAAGATTAGAGGTCAGCAACGTTTTTTAGTTTATTTCAAAACTTAAAAGTTGGAGTTTGACACAAAACTTAAAGGAAGAGTTGCCCATTATCTTTCCATTAATGGTGTGGTTGACAGTGATCACAGATACCACATTTAATTAATAAAAACAATCGACATTTTTCACAACAGGCCTTTTGACATTAATAGTAGGGTAAACACAGGTGTTACCATTGATGCTAATTGAGGTTCTGTTCCATTTAGTGTAGCAGAGCCTTTCCAGTGAGCCAACATGCACACTAGCAGCACCCTGACTGTGTTTGACCTGAATGGAACAGAACCTGTGTTTACCCTACTGTTTCAAAAGGGCTGCTCTGAAAAAGGTCAAATAAAGCTGCAGTGGGAAACTTTTATAAAAATAACTTTTTGTCATATTTGCTGAAACTTTCACTATATCCTGACAGTAGCACATGAGACAGATAATGTAACTGAGGCCATTTGTATAACAGATTTTTCTTTGAGCTGTCTGTCAGTGTTAGAAGAGTCACTTTTATCATGTGAGCCTCTCAGATTTTTACATCACACAGGAACAATAACTAGTTGCTTTGCTGCAACACAACATTTGCAGTTCTTTCCTGTGAACTTGCATGTCCATGACTGCATGTCCAATACTGCATGTGGACATGCAGTATTGGACATGCAGACCAGAACATTTGAAGACAGTTGTGAATATAAGTCTATATTACTACGTGGTCATGTAGTCAAAGGGTTCAGAGGTTATCAGTGGTTGTGATGTTTTCTCTGCTCTCAGCTCTTATGAAATGCCTGCACTCTGATGCCGCTCAGACGTCATCGTGGGCTCACTGGTCGTTGATAGCCTTTCATATCAATATTTGTCTTTTTGTTGCTGAGTGAGAGACTGGTGGAAAACATTGCCACGTGTTGTGGTCTGTGTTTTGGACAGAAAATTCAATACAGCCCCTACCAACCTCAGGTTAATATTATGTTATGAATTGGCGCTATACAAATAAAATTGAATTGACTTGAATTGAATTTGAATATTTAGATATATTAAAAAAACATTTATTAAACACAGAACAAGCAGAGATTTTGCTTTTAAATGAGTCTAAAGCGATAATCAGACCACAATCAAATGTTAAAACAAAGAGCACACTGCCAAACCCAGCTTAGCTGAGGCTGACTTCCTGTTAGCTGGAGGCCCCTGCCTTACAGCTTACGCTCTTGGCTAGAAGAAAGCAATCGTTAGCTTTGTACCGTTACACCATTTGTTGTTGGTGACACCGTTTGTCATAATACATAAGTTAGTTTCATGGACCACGTTAGCTGGGAAAGTAATCTTGCAAGCTAACGATAGCCAAATAACATATCCACTGAAGGTTAGCCACTCCAACCACGCTGAGTAACGTTAGCCAGCTGCCTCAGGAGTCTGGGTGAAGCTAGCTCACCATTTGTCTGCGTTAACAAGCAAGCTAATGTTAGCCAGCTGAAATCACAATATCATAATACATTTCACAAGCTTTGCAGCAATGTTAGCTTTGACTTTGGACTTTGTGTTGGACTCCATGTGGTGGTGGGAGTTGGTCATTTGTTAGCGGACTCCATTTATAAGCTCACATTAGCTAGTGTTGCACAATGTTGAGGAAAGAGAAGGCACACAGGAGCATGCACAAACATCACATCCTTTTGGATCTTCTTGGAAAATCTGACTTGGAATGCATATAAATCAAGAAAGTCTATAAAAATAACGAGTAAATGCTTCCGAATCTTACATATGGCACCTTTAACTTTTATCTTGGAACATGTGACCAGTCTCTTAGTAGCTTTATATGGATGTATTGCACGTTTGCAAGAAGTATGGTGTGTTGATGTCAAAGTTCAGCTTGTCACTGCTTCTGTTTCTTGGATATCTGAAGTTGTCAGCCCTTTTGTCCATCTGACCTTTGACCTTTGAAGCAGAACAGTTCCAAATGTAAAACAGCTTCTTTGTCAATGACGTTAATATTTAAATGTTAGAATAGAAGCTAAAAACGTGCCTTTTCCTCTCGCTGTGTGTGGACGTGCAGTCGGAGGAATCTACACAGTGATTCAGACCAAAGCCAAGATCACGGTGGATGAATGGGGGGAGAACTACTACATGATGGGGCCCTACTTCGAACACAACTTTAAGACCCAGGTGGAGGGCTGCGAGCCACCAAACCCCGCCATCAGGAAGGCCATGGATGCCCTCATCCAGAATGGCTGCCAGGTGTGTGTGTGTGTGTGTGTGTGTGGCTCATGTCTTAATATATTTTATGAAACCAAGGACTGCTGCCTTCATTTGGAATAATTGCTGGCAGGTATGATAAAGTCTGGGTCGTCAATCAATCATAGTCAGTGGCTGGAACTCTCTTAATGTCGTGCCCATATTGCTCTTACAGCACAACTTATATAAGTTACAAATCTTCTTTAGTAGTGGTACTACTGCTATCATAGCTACTGTGATTGCTAATAGAACCACTACTACAACAACTACTACTGTATAATCAGTCTTCAATCAGTCTCGTCAGCAGTGAGCATGTATCAAGTTGGTGTTTCACAATGATTTATACAATTGCAATTACATGTATTAATACATATATTGTTACATATATTGCTACAGCAGTAAGAATAGCTTTTAGCATTTCTGCCATCTGTCACTGTGAAGGTTTACCACACTCTCACTGAGGGGACTGATGGAGTCCAGCTCCAGCCACCAATCATTGGCCACTAGATGGCAGTCATATACCAGAGACCCTGATGATCCAGAAGAGTAGACAAATGATATACCGTGCTCCCATGTGACCAACATGCTGTACAGCTATGTGCTATACAAGCAGCTGATTAGTCCATTAGAATGGAAACCTGCAACCACCTGAGCAACCCTACCTACTCTGAAGGGTTCAAAACCTTATCAGAAACAGCTACTTGTGAGTAACTGATATACACAATAAATGAAACAGAAATCTAGGGCTCATTTCTAACACACATCAAAGAAACGTAAACTAAGATAAGTCTGATCTACACATAATTTAAAACCAAGCCTACAGTGCACCATGTTGGACTGGTGGGTAGAAAATAGTTTTCTTATACAGTGTACCACTCAGTGGGCTTCCTTTGCTGATGTTGATGCTGCAGGTTCATTTTGGCCGCTGGCTGATTGAGGGCAGCCCCTACGTGATCCTGTTTGACATCAGCTCTGCAGCTTGGAACTTGGACCGCTGGAAGGGGGACCTGTGGGAGACCTGCAGCATCGGCCTGCCCTACCACGACAGAGAGGCCAACGACTCGCTCATCCTGGGCTCCCTGATCGCCTGGTTCTTCAAAGAGGTCAGCTGGCTCTTCACTGAATTCCCTGTCCTTCAATTTCACAGCTTTGAGTTGAGTTTAGTAAACACTGCTGTTTCTAACTTTGACTCATTATTTTTGACTATTGTTTTCCAGTTAACAGACCAGCTGGGAGACAAACCCAATGTCATTGGTCATTTCCACGAGTGGCAGGCGGGTCCAGGGCTTATTCTCTCTCGCTCCCGCAAGATCCCCATGGCAACAGTCTTCACCACACACGCCACCCTGCTGGGACGATACCTCTGCGCCGGGAATGCCGACTTTTACAACAACCTGGACAAGGTGAGAGGTCAGCGGGGTTCACCATTTAGGTTATTTTTTTTAATTTTTATTTCTTCCATGCCAAGGCCCCCCAAATGAGCTTATGCACAAGGCACCCCTTTCACAAGATGTCTTTAAAAACCTACTGACAGGGTCCCTGGATAGCTCAGTGGGTAGAGCTGGCGACCCATGTACCGAGGCTGAGTCCTTGCTGCAGCGGCCCAGGGTTCAAATCCGGCCTGCGGCCCTTTGCTGCGTGTCATCCCCTCTCTCTCTGTCCACCTTTCCTATCTGTCTTCAGCTGTCACTATAATAAAGGCCTATAATAAAGACCCCCCAAAAATATTAAAAAAAACAAAACAAAAAAACCTATTGACAGTACTACTTCTGAATATATTTCTTTACTTTTATTGATGCAATCATAATTACATTATGTACATATATGTGGCAGACACAGACCGTTACCAGGATAACAGTGTACATTTTATTTGGCACAAACAATAAATTGTTTAACATGCTGTAAATTCTGAAATTGCCTACACACATGCGCGCACACACACACACACACACACACACACACACACACACACACACACACACACACACACACACACACACACACACACATACATATTTCTGTTCCATCAGAATAATTTTCACATTCAAAGGTTCAGGCCCAAAATCGCAGCCTTTTACAGCCACTTAGAGCATCATTAGCGATATTGAGTTGTGTGTGTGAGTGTGTGAATGTGTGCGGAGGGGTCAGTGTAATGTTTGTAATTGGCTCTCTGCTGCTCGCATCCTAAAGGTCAGCATGGAGCTAAAGGCCACTCCCTGACTGAATGCATCATTGACAGACAAGGTGTTTGCGACCATAAGCCTGTGCAGAGGAATTCTATCGATGGAATCATATCAATATGCATTTTTAGATTTTGTCGACTGGAACACACTCAGGCAGCCAGGGTAGGGTTCAGGCCTAGGAGTAAACATTATCAATAAAAATAAACTGGTAAACCTTTAAATGAGTTAAATGTTGTTTCCTGTGTCCCAGTTCCATACTACATACTAATTCTATTAAGTAAGTAGTATGCATCATTAGAAAAGTGATGAAATGAAGTATACTTTAAATAGTCAATTAATTGTTTTTTCAAATGTCAATTGACGTTTTTTTCAGGAACAATACAGATACTTATTATTAGTAATCAAGGAAACCGATAACTGCTATTTGGAACTGATATAGGCTACATTTGCAGTCAAAATTAAAATGTTAGGAGTAAAATTTAACCAGAGTTACCAGTGGTGGAATGTAACTACGTTTCTCAAGTTCTGTATGCAAGTGCAGTTTTGAGGTACTTTTACTTTACTTGAGTATTTACATTATATGCTACTTTATACTTCCTCTCCACTACATTTCACAGGGATATATTATACTTTTGACATCACAACATTTGTTTGATACATTTTGTTTCTTTGCAGATTTAGATGAGTACAAAATATTAATCAACTACTAAATGATGATGTATTATAATAGCTACCCAGCATATATAAAGTTATTCAAATCAGTAACATTAAAGGAATGAACACATTGATGCATAAATATAATCCAACAATATAATGTATATTATTTTAAAACACTTACTTTTGGTACTTTAAGTATTGATGCTAATACCTTTTGTACTTTAACTTAAGTAGGATTTTAAATACAGGACGTTAATGGTCCATTTAGGAGGCTCTCTTGTTACTAAGTTTATATTGTATTATATTATATAATATTATATTATAACTAACGGTATATCACTAATGTTGTATCACAATAATGAGACTTAGGGCCGATACTGATATTGAATTGATTTTACATTTAAAGGCACACTATGCATGATTTTTACCTTAACAGCTACGAAGTCATTTCGATGGTAAACGAACTCGTAGTATAGCGAATCATCCCGATAGCAAAGCAGGAGAGGGACGCCGCTGGCAGAACCAGCAATGCAAGTCTGAAAGGTGGCGTCCCGCCAAATCTCGCAAGAATCACGAATTGCTTTACGGCGCGACGTCACATACATCAGCGACATAAGAAGCAGCCTCAATGGAAGACACTAGCAGGCATTCACTTAGACGTTACCTGGTCAGTAGACATCTTCGGAGTCTATCTTTGCCTGTTCGATGTCCAACGCTTCCATCCTACTGAACATGTACCTGTATACAGGGGGGAGGGGATCAGGCCGTGAGTGCAGAGACGCAGAGCCGTATATAGAGACGGCTCTGGTGAGTGGTATTTACGACAGTTAACGTTAAATACAAGTACTCCCCAACGACAAAACTAAAAAACTGCATAGTATGCCTTTAACCTAGAAGGTTAAAAATGAGAATGGTTAATAATTGTATTGACCTGTCCCCTGTCTGTGTGTGTGTGTGTGTGTGTGTGTGTGTGTGTGTGTGTGTGTGTGTGTGTGTGTGTGTGTGTGTGTGTGTGTGTATGTGTGTGTTGTAGTTCAATATTGACAAGGAGGCAGGTGAGAGGCAGATCTACCATCGTTACTGCCTGGAGAGAGCGGCAGTCCACTGTGCTCACGTCTTCACCACAGTGTCCCAGATCACTGCTGTGGAGGCCAACCACATGGTTCACAGGACACCAGGTAAGGAAGCTTTTCACTGTTGCACCTTGATACTGCACAGATAGAACAGACCACTGTCAGGAGGCCAACCCCCCTACCGTCCTCCAGCACCGCTATAAACACAACTTACCAATGATGTACCTGTTGTGTTGATGTACAGATGTGGTGACCCCCAACGGTCTGAATGTGAAGAAGTTTTCGGCCATGCATGAGTTCCAAAACCTGCACTCCACCAGCAAGGCCCGCATCCAGGAGTTTGTCAGAGGACACTTCTATGGGTGGGTGGAGTTTACAGACCCAGTGTTTTTAATTTTCTCCTTACTGAGGAAGGCCTTTCATATGTTGCCTGAAACAGTCTACTTCAGAAGTCCTGTATTCTAAACTAGAGAGTTGTTCCCTTCACACCTGACTGTAATTCCTATCCTTCTGGCAGTCATCTGGACTTCAACCTGGAGAAAACCCTCTTCATGTTCATCGCTGGACGATACGAGTTTTCCAACAAGGGTGCTGATATTTTCCTTGAATCACTGTCCAGACTCAACTACCTACTGCGGGTGAGGCCCTTCAGTCCTCTGTGTTCAGTAGCGCACTGCTGTTTCCATTAAATGTGTAAAAGTTGCAAAAAGTACACTTTCAAACAAATTAGAACCTTATAAAGAGAAAGGGCAGGTAAATCTTCTTCACTTAAATTCAATTCAATTTTATTTGTATAGTGCCAAGTTATCTCAGGACACTTTTCAAATAGAGCAGGTCTAGACCGAACTCCTTATAACATTATTTACAGAGACCCAACAGTACCACCATGAGCAAGCACTTGGCGACCTAACTATAAGCTTTATCAAAGAGGAACGTCTTAAGCCTACTCTTAAATGTGGAGAGGGTGTCTGCCTGGAAGCTGGTTCCACAGGAGAGGAGCGTGGTAACTAACCCTAACCCTAACCCGTTCTGAATTAATTGGAGCGTTTTAATGGACTTATTGGGGCAGCCTGATAATAAAGTGTTGCAGTAATCCAGCCTAGAAGTAACAAATGCATGGATTAGTTTTTCTGCATCTGTCTGCGAAAGGATGTGTCTAATTTTTGCAATATTATGTAAATGAAAGAAGCATGCATTCCTGTCCAAACGACTCATACATCCTTTGTTTTTTCGATCTCCACGCTATCCACAGGTCCACAGAAATGATGTGACAGTGATAGTCTTCTTCATCATGCCAGCTAAAACCAACAACTTCAATGTGGAGTCACTAAAGGGACAGGCGGTGCGGAAACAGCTCTGGTACGCCCTGATGTGCTTTACATAACAGATGAATACCAATATAAACACATGATAATGCACATGTAATACCTTATATCAGTGGTTCCCAACATGGGGGTCAGGACCCCCTCTAGGGGTCACCAAAGCTTCATGGGGGATCGCAAGGACTTCTTAAATTAAGGGCGTGCTAGAAAACGTACACATATATATCTATACAGTGGGCCTATATCTCAGCATTTGGTTCACTTCTGTTAGTTAAATGTAAAGTAACTCGTAAATTGTCTAATAGAACGATGGCCAATCATCAGGAACAAGAAAACACTGAATTTGTAAAAAAAAAAAAAAAAAAAAAAAAAAAAGCCTATTAAGTATGTATGATTGTGTAAAATTATTTTAAAATAATACATACTACAGACATAATTGTAAAATAAGTTCCCTAAACAGGAAATAATCCACTCCAAACTCGTTTTGCTCAAAAATTACATCCCTGATTTATTTTTTCTACATACCATCTGCATTAGTTTCTACAATGATGTTTGAGGTGTCTGTTATGTTTTGTTGTATTTTTAATCACAGCACAATCACTTGACAAAGTGTGTGACTATCCCTTTCACATATTTTTATGCACATTATGAATTACCACATTAAAAATGTTTTTAACGGTAACATTTTTAAATTAATCTTTAATTTCACCAACAATCTATGGTGGTTTTGCCTTTTTGAAAAATAATATTAGTTATAATATAGTTAATACCCTTAATGGGAGGTGGAAACTTGTTTTACAAAAAGGTTCTAATGTAGCGAACTAAGAGTGGGGGAGCCATCCCTTCTTAGCTCTAAGAGGAGAGCCACAGTGGTTCCAGTGGAGAGAAAAGGGAAAAAGAAAAAGAAAGGGTTTTGGGGATGGCATGTGAAAATTGAGTCAAAGAGGGAGCGAAATGAAATGAGTTCAAGGCGTGGTCTTGGTTACCCAATCTAGTTATAAAAATGAATTATTCACATAATGGTAGTGGATGGAAACATGCATTTTCTTCTGCTGAATTGCTAATTTGCAGTTGGTTTAGCCATGTCCATGTTCTTTCCCCAACCTTAACCAAGTAGTTTTGTGCTTCAACCTGACTGTACCTGTAGCAGATAAGGAAACCGTCATATATATCACTTTTGGTTTGGGGAGCCTTCTGGTGACCTCCCAGTCTCACGGCAGTTTCTGGAACCTCCAGACCTAAAAACAGGACCTGGACACACAGCATGGTCTTTCAAACTCTAGGCCTCAAACAGAATCCTGACGGAAAGTTCTTTACGGCTGCTTCAGTTTTCCATTTTAATGTCATTGTTGTTCAGCACACAAATTAGGGCTTGCTTTACAAATGCAACAATTTGACTTTTGCAGGGACACAGCTCACACTGTGAAGGAGAAGTTTGGCAAAAAGCTGTATGACGCTCTGTTAAAGTAAGTATGGACACTGAGCGAACCCACAGCTTTATTGATTTTACACATTTGCTGTGGACATCAGCACTGCTTCTCTGTGATAGATGGAGATCGCGCATGTTCTGTGTTGTGTGAATTATTGTTTGCTCCGTACTCAGAGGGGAGATCCCCGACATGAACTCCATTCTGGAGCGAGACGACTTCACCATTATGAAGAGAGCTATCTACGCCACTCAGGTACTGCAGCCTTCCTCCCATTCTTCCTTTCACAGTACTGGCTTTAAGTTGTTTTCTTCCATCTGATGATTGACTGCTTACTGAAGTTCTACCTGGTACATGTCTTCTTTAAATTTAGTTTAGAAATATGTACCATGTGAACACAATATCAACTAAAATAATACAAATCTTCAAAGTATATGTTGACCACTCTACAAGACAGGGCCACCAAAATTAGGTAAATAACCACAAACAAGAGGTGATTACATAGGCTTGGTTACATCAGTTGATATTGTGATTAAGTGGTGCATATTCCTAAACCAATTTGCATGCCACATCTGCAAAAAGTTCCTCATAGGACGCTGATTGGAACCACTGTAGTTTGGATACAAGCATGAGAGCTTGATGCCTGGCAAGATGGATCTTGCATGATCTCGTGATTTTGTGATCTTAGGAGTCCAGCTCCCTCGCAGGGTTAATAGTTTGTAACACGAGCGAGTAATTCTATATTATTTACCTTGCTATGGTCATGACGGGGGATAAAATGATTGTTGTGAAGGGTCTGTGTTTTTGGAATACAATACAACAATTACTACAATGACAATATTTTATTTCATAAGCAGAAAGAAGTCGCTATGTAAACTTTTCAGAGTGAAGTCTTTGGATTATCCAGAATATCCAGGACATAGTTCAAGGAAATTAAAAAGTAAGGAAATGATGCTATAGGATTTGACAAATGTATTGAAAATGTAATTTGGGTGAACAGCAGACTTTATAAATGTGGATATTTACCTTTGGCTTCACAGGCTGATCAAACATGACAGAAGTGCATCTTTGTGGATTAGGAATTGATTCCGTTTGTACTCTGCTACTATAAAGCGTCAACCCACCCAAATCACAGGAAAACATTTTCTCTCAGATACGCTATATGCAGATCATTTTGTTTTTATTTTACTTGGTTTTGAAGTATCCATCTCCAGTACAGCAGATGTAAGTTGAACTTTGTGGTGATCAAAGCTACTCTGGATAATAACAGGAGTAAGAAAATATCGATACATTTGAGTATCGTGATATTTTGTTTTATGATATTGTAATGAGTCTCAAAAACACTGCATAAATGTTTGTGTTTAAACCCCCAGAAAACTACATAGCAGTGCTGTAAACCTAGTGCTATGCTATGCATATACAGTAATGGCGTGTTCTTCATACTACTACAGTTTTCCTAAAAAGAAAATTTAATTGCAGTATATTGCAGTATAGTGAATGATATGTATGCTATGGCCTGATTTTTACCCATACACAGCCCTAATGGATAACAGCTCACTGTAAACTATTTTCAACTGTTATTAGCTATTTTCTGTGTAGCTTCATATGCTTTCCCACAATATAAAACTATTCAATGACAATTTTAGGTTAGGAGTCCTGTGGCTCCAAGGTTTGGAGCTACTCCACCATTATTCAGCAGCAGTGTAAAAATAGCCAACAGACAGAATAATAGAAGATGCTGTAAAAGATAAATCTCCAGCAGCACACTCATATCCTCAGCTCTATTTTTATGAATGGATAAGGCATTTCCCCGGGACGGATCAATGTGAGCGATGGCCCCTGCTGGAGATGAATTATAAAAGGACACAAGGGGGATTCCCCCGAGCGCAAAGCATGAATGAACGTCAGAGCCGTAACCAAGCTGAGTGTGGGTTAATTATCTTCCTCTACCCCGGACCACGGGTCAATAGACCGGATGTGTCGAGTGCTTAGAAAAAGGTCTTTCTCAATTAAATGAATTTATGCCAACATCAATATTTCAGTGGTGGGAAATGGAGTGAGACTGGTATTGACTCGGAGCGTGTGGAGAGTGATGGGACAGAGGCTCGTCCTGATTAGTGATTGGAGGAAGCACGGTTGTGATTGTTTCTCTTCTTGTCATTTGTCATGTGTAGCCCTCCACATTTCCCATCCACCCCCACTTTTCAATTACAGCCTTGTTTATTTCACAAACTTAGACGACGAGTAGAGTAGTCTCTCTCTTTCTGTACATTTCAAGACTTATAATACCTTTAAACAACTGACCCTTCCGAAGCCACGCACCTTTTGGAACCTCGGTCAACTTCCTCCTTTCCTATACGTAGATAAGCGATGTGCTAGGCTCCTCTACGTTGAAAAGACTCATTTTGAAGCTAGCTAGTCTACATAAATCATTGGCTAGCGTAATCGTTTTTCTAACATTAGCTATCAGATGTAACTAGCTAGCTGACAATTAATGTAGATTGTTTAGCTAGGTAGCTAGCATTTTACTAAACGTTAACTAACTTAAGATATATTGCTTTTATCTTTTGACCATCTCCAAAATTGTCTTTTCAACATACATTATCCTTGCACATAGAATATCTATATATATCTACATATAAGTACAGGAAAGGTGGAAGTTGACAGAGGTTCTGGCCGAGGCTTGCTCAACTGTTATCAGAGCACAGAGCAAAAAGGGGTGGGACTTATTATATTTTCAATTCATTTGTGGTGTTAATAAAATACAACCAGTTTAAAAAAGTAGTAAATATAAAAGTATATATTGTATAACATCATTTCCAAAAATCATTTGTACAAAGACACAAGGTTACATAATTCTATAGCTTTGTGAGTGTTATTTCTGGTTCCCACATGGTTTCCCCCTTATTCCAGAACTTCTCATCATGTTCCCTTTTACTTATTGGTACGTACTCTTATAATCTTATAAGAACTGCTCTTTTTAGACCCAAGTAGATATCCATTAATTTTTGTTTACTATTAATAGGGATGCACAATATGGATACTTTTTTTTTATCCGATAAAATAACCAATAATTACCTGCTCCTCATGGCCGATACTGATAAGATAACTGATCATTTTACAATTTTGTATTTTAAATAGAAGATGATAACCTGTACTTTATGCACACCTGAAGGTAAGAAAGGCTGAGATGTAGTGAGCAAAGATGGATGATTTAATATTCCACAGCTCTGTTCTAACCGAATCTAACTGACATCACTGTTGTTAACAACAACAAACATCAAAGACAATATTTATGTTCATCAAAAAACGTCACAAACATACTTTGGCTCTCATAGACATAATAAATTATTATCATCATCAACTGATCATTTATTGGCTCTAATTTAATTATCAGGATCATTTATAATAATGTAAATTTCCCATTATCGGACGATTATTTATCTGCCATGATAATTATCGTGCATATGAATATGTTGTATGCTGCTTTCATATTTTCAGTTCAGTTCTGTAAACCTGTTATGCATTGAGTAAAAGGCTCACTGGGTAATGATAGCAATTAATTGGAAATGTACTGACTGATTGATTGTTTCTGTTTTAGTAATTCTCAACATTCCAGCCTTTCTATTGTACTTCCTTCGGAGGAAATAATAGGAAGCTATGGGAGCTGTAAAATGAAGCGTTGCTGGTTTTGTATTGCGCTGTGATGTTGCAGTAATCAGAATTCATTAGCCCAAGGTTTGGATAATGCTTGCACTAATCAATACTTCTCAGAATCACAGTCTGAAAGGTTACTAGTTGCGGACCACTGAATCAAACACCCATTGTCATTTCTCCTCACCTCCCCTGCTTTAGGCCTGTGTGTTTGTGTGTGTGTGACATATAGTATTCAGTGTTTCCTCTAGGATTTTTTTTAGCAGTGGGGGCAGGCCCGTCCGAACAACTTAATGTGTAATGTTTCTCGTATTTACAAGAAGGTTTAAATAATTAACAATATGTAGTAGATAACATTTCTCAAAGGTTATAAAGTTTCTAATCACTCAATAACTGTTTGTTTACTTACAGGATAAGTTGAGTAGGTGGACATTCTGTGTGGCCCAGGATACATTAGTGTTTACACTACAAAAGATATGTAGTCAAATGCTTCCCAGAATACCTCAGCAACTTTACACTGTATTTAGAACTGTCCACTTGTGATTGGCTCACGTAAGAGGCATTCTAATACCAGGTGCAAACAGGCTCCATGATGATATAAATCTCACCTAGTTTGTAAATGTGGCGTCCGTCACGCTGACACACAAAGCAGAGACCTAACGGACCTGTCTCCTCTCCTCCTTTAAACAAAATGATATGCAGAGACACAGCCTCCCTCCAGTGACCACTCACAACATGCTGGACGACACAACTGATCCCATCCTGTCCAACGTCAGACGCATCGGCCTCTTCAACTCCAGGAACGACCGAGTCAAGGTACACAACACATCTTGTCTGCTTCCTCTGTGTGTTTATTACCATTGTGTTCTCTTCTGCAGACAGTTTGTAAGAGTTCTTCAGTCATACGTTGCCTGGTAATGATGTGCATCATTTTGGTTAAAACTAGAAGAGCAAGTGAACAAGTGATGAACACTTTGTAGAAAGAATTAAGAGTTTGCAGTCATTCTTGCAGCTCTGTGAGGCTTTACTTAGGCACAGTGATGCTTGATGCTGAACTAAGTTGACTTAAAATCATAGTTCTAGATCTAGAGGAAAAGTCTTTGCTCAGTGGGGCACAGACTCATGCAGAAGCAAAGTAACATGGTACTGCAATTCCACTACTTTTGGCAGTAACTAGTAATGTAACTAATTACATTTTCAAATTTAGAAACAATTATTAAAAATTGAAATGTCCAGTGTGAAACATTTAAGAGGATGTATTGGCAGAACAAACCAAATACTGGTTTTAGATAGCGCCGTTTTTCATGAGTTTGCGGCCACCGCAGTTTCTCCTCCGCAGATGGTCAAATACAGATGCGAGCATTGTTCAGTTAATTGCAATTTGCAACTAGAGGCCACTAAAGCCTACACACTGAACCTTTAAATAGGATTGTTATTTACTTTGGTCTTAACTGAAAATAGTGGAAGACTGTACACAAAGCGAGCAGATCCTTTTGATTTTGTATTTTCCACTTTGTGATCTAATGTCAGCTGACTTTACAGTGGCCCAATTATCAAATATAATTATTTATTAATTCAATTCAATTCAATTCAATTTTATTTGTATAGCGCCAATTCATAACAGAAGTTATCTCAGGACACTTTTCAAATAGAGCAGGTCTAGACCGAACTCTTAACATTAATTACAGAGACCCAACAGTACCACCAGAGCAAGCACTTGGCGACAAGGGCAAGGAAAAACTGCCTGTTAAAAGGCAGAAACCAGGACAGATCCTCCGGCCAGGTGGGTGGTCGTCTGTCTCGACCAGTTGGGGTGAGAGAGAGAGAGAGAGAGAGAGAGAGAGAGAGAGGCAGAGAGAGAGGCAGAGGGAAGGCAGAGAGACGAGAGACAGACAGACAGACAGGTGCACAGCAACAACAGTATTGGCAATGGCAGTCAAGCAGGACCATGGCAGGAGGCCCACCAGGATCCATGAGAACCCGCAGACGAGAAAGCACAAGAACCCGGGAAAAGTGGAGTTAGTAACAGCATTAATGGGACATGAATGAGTGCAGAAAGAGAGAGAAGGAGGAGCTCAGTGCACCATGGGAAATCCCCCGATAGTCTAGGCCTATAGCAGCATAACTAAGGGATGGTTCAGGACCACCTGATCCAGCCCTAACTATAAGCTTTATCAAAGAGGAATGTCTTAAGCCTACCTGAATGTGGGAGGGCGTCTGCCTCCTGAACCACAACTGGAAGCTGGTCCACAGGAGAGGAGCTTGGAACTGAAGGCTCTGGCTCCTGTTCTACTTTAGAACTATAGGAACCAAAAGTAGCCCAGCATTCGAGAACGAGTGTTCTAGTGGGCAATAGGGTACTATGAGCTCTTTAAGATATGAAGGGGCCTGACCATGAAGAGCTTTATAGGTGAGGAGGAGGATTTTAAATTCAATTCTACATTTTACAGGGAGCCAATGCAGAGAAGCAGTACAGGAGAGATGTGATTATGTACTAATGAACTACTGTTGCAGAGCTCGGTTAATGTGTACATCTGTGTCTACCAACCAAGACAGTAAGTGTAGCTTACATGTAGGAACGCTAGTTGTCGCTGCCCTCTGGTGATCGGGAATAACTAAATAAAATTTGTCATCTGTGTGCATTAAAAAGATAATTGAAGCAAACATTTAAAAGTAACTCAAAGGTTACTTTCCCTGGTAACTAATTACTTTTACATGCAGTATTTGGTCAAATATTTAAAGTCTGGAGAAAAGTAACTAGTAATTGTAACAAATTTTCAGTAACTTGGTGGCAGCTTAGATCAAATAATGAATTCAGGTGAGAAGCCAGCTATCCATCACTTCAGATCAATGTGCCTACGTTTATTATTTGCTATTTAATGTTCAGAAGAGGCACAAGAGTCTGAGGGGATTGCAATAGCTAAAAGGTAAGGGGTCACCAAAAAATAAGATTTCCCAGTGTTCATGAAGAATGAGTATTTTTACTTCCATGTTTCCACAATATTTCTCTGAAAATCTCCCTGTCTGTCCTCCACCTCTAAGATTATCTTCCACCCTGAGTTCCTGTCCTCCACCAGTCCTCTGTTGCCCATGGACTATGAGGACTTTGTTCGTGGCTGTAACCTTGGAGTGTTCCCCTCCTACTATGAACCATGGGGATACACACCTGGTAACCTTTTACCCTCACATTGCAATATAATGCAAATAATGCATCTGCACACAAATGCTGTTTCTCAAAATCTCCACAGCAGCCACGGGGGCAAAGATTCATTCTGTATACCAAATGCACACTTTGCAACAAGGCAGCCTGAATGAAGCCTGCAAGCCAGTTCAGGTTACAAGGTTTAATGACCCTCTGCAATAAGGCATTATATTTATATTTGGAGTTGTTATTTTACAATCTCCAGCTTTAAACTTCAGCAATTATTTTTTTACACACAATTAGTTTGATTTGTTGGAATCCCTTCAAGTGAAATACAGCCAGACGTTTACCATTCAGCTCAGCTTTTTAACTATGTTTAAGGTAGCTGCTAGCTAATGGTAGGCTACCTGCTGCCAGAGCCATGTAGAGAGAGAACTTCCGTAATATTAACTAGTGATGGCACATGTGGTGATGCCTCTGTTGCCTGTAATATCCAAACCAGAGGGCAACTATTCCAATAGGCAGCTCTGGTACTGAAACAAAGCACCACCATCTGCATTGTGCTTCAGTCCGGTAGATACTGGTTGTATAGGAACTGGTGCCATATTAGCACTGTGTTTTGGTACCCAGCTCTAGCATTTGTGGACGTTCCCACCATCAAAGTCAGGTCAGGTAGTATAAAAGTAGTAGTATAGAGAGTAAGAAAGTCAGAATACAGAGGTGATGGGGTGGATGAATGGTTTGTGTCCCTTGTGAAATCAAAAGTCAAAAGTAAGATATGTAAGTTTACTTGTAAACTTGCTGAAGTTGTGTCAGTTAAGATATTTTCCTAATCCTAACCGAACTGTAACACTTTCACAACAAGCTTTATTTTGAAAGTCTAAATGCATGTTGCATATTTCCAAATGACACTAGAGGGGTACCTACAGCGTCTTATGTTGAAGCGGAGGGCCCCAGAACGTGTTCTTAAAGACCTTTAAAATGGTTGCTTGATGCTGCATTTTGTCACCTGATACCAATACACATGTCTTTTTTCTGAGCTGTGTTGTCCTTCCCCAGGTGAATGTACTGTAATGGGCATTCCCAGTGTGACCACCAACCTCTCAGGTTTCGGCTGCTTCATGGAGGAGCATGTCTCAGACCCTACTGCCTATGGTGAGGGCATATCGCACCATGTGCACACACATACACACACGTGCACACACACATCATTGCTATTGCTGCCTCATTTAAAAGTGCCAACAGCCCTTTCATTTTGAGGAATTACATGACTTACATGACTGTCCACATGCTGATGCTCAAGGGCATGTCTCCATCAGGTATTTACATTGTGGACCGGCGGTTCCGTTCGGCCGAGGAGTCCTGTAACCAGCTGACCCAGTTTATGTTCAGTTTCTGCCAGCAGTCTCGGCGCCAGCGCATCATCCAACGGAACCGAACTGAGAGGCTGTCTGAGCTGCTGGACTGGAGATACCTGGGACGGGTGTGTTTGGTGCAAGAAAAGTTCAAGAGCAAGCTGAATTGAGTTGCCCTACTGGGTGCATTCATTATAGACTTGAAAATGTCAAGTCTCAAAACAAAGGAGGAAAAACGTAGCAAGATGTTCAGTTAAATGTAAAATGTTTTATGTGTATCTCTGACTTCTTTGCAGTTCTACATACAAGCCCGCCATCTTGCCCTTAGCAGAGCTTTCCCAGACAAGTTCAAGATGGACCCCATGGCCCCTCTGAAGGTAAGCAGTAGGAAAATTAATACCTAGAAAAAGAGACATAAAACAACCATAAAAAGACTCAAAACGACTAGAGAGATGCAAAACAACCAAAAAGAGAAATAAAATGACCACAAGGTGATGCAAAACGACCACTAAGAGACTAGATAAGATAATAAAAGAGATGCCGCCTTGTCTTTTCTGGTCGTTTTGGTGTCTTGTTCATACATAGGAGGGGTGGAGGATCTTTTACATGAGATTGTCCAAGGTACGTTTGTCTCATAATCTGTCCATGGCTGGAGGCTATCTGGAGTTACAAATAGCAGCTATTCATCTATATTATTTCATATTAGTAAAGTGGTTTATTTGGCATTGATTGATTACACTGGGTGAATAAAGTAACTATTAATCATGTACAGCTGAACATTGCCAAGAACCAAGGCTTTTTTGAATCTGTGCCCCAGTCTACCTCCTCCTGTTCAAAAGTTTCTAAACCAAACCATCAGGTCTGCCTGGGTGACTTATTAGATGCAGCAAAGAGTTTGCAATGGTGCTACAGTCTGAAAATCATCTTTTGGTGGCTCCCACTGAAATGCTCTCTGACAACCTTGAAAAAAAGTCTTCCTCTAACAGCACATACATGTACATGAGAATACCTTCCATGTACTGACTGACGCACAGTAGATATTGTTTGATTTTACCCACATTTGTCAGGCTTTAATTGACAGCCTAACATTTGGATGAATGTCATCGTGGAGTGTGCTGTAGTTGCATAAAAAAAGACTGCCCCTTTCTTGTTTCGCTCATCCTTCTTTTATCCATGGACTATGACTGATAAGGTATCTGATACACAGTTTTCAGGTTTGGTACAAATTTGAATTTCAGTTAATTAGATAAAATCTTTGTTTATCATTGAAATTTATTAATATGAGAAGTATAAAAAACGGAGATAGGCGAAGAAATAGGGATAAAGAAGCAAGCACTGAAGGGAGGAAAGAATGAGTGAGAATGGAAGGTAGGAGGGAAATAGAGGGGCTGAACCAAGAAATGGGAAAGGGAAATGGAGGGGAAATGGAATGAAAGATTGAAAGAAAAAATAGTTCATAAAATGGAAGGAAAGAGAGAGAAAATGGATGGATGATGGGTAAGAGGGAGAAATGAAGTACGAGGGAGAGAAATGGGGGTGGATGAAGGAGGGAGTGAAGGAAAGAAAAAAATTAAAGTAAGGACAGGAGGTTATACAAAGGCAAGAAAGAAATAGGGATAGAATAGAAAGGAAGAAGGGAAGAAGAGGGGAATAGAAGGGGCAAATAAAAGGGAATAGGAGGCACAAAGGGAAAATGAGAATAAAAGACAAAAAATGTAAGAGGGGATGGTAAGTCTGAGATTACTGATGTTGCAGCTTTTTCAATACAATCCAGGAGGCAACTGATTGTGAAGGAACTGTTTGCAGCAAATTTTGAGTCTCTGAATATTTTTCATAGAAATGCACTGAAAACTGCTTGGAATTGAATTTAGTGCTTTGTTTCCACAGGCAGAAGGTTTCCGTTACCCCCGGCCCTACTCGGTGCCCCCTTCACCATCTGCCTCCCTCCACTCCACCCCCCACCACAGTGATGTGGAGGACGATGATGATGACGAGCCCTATGATGAAGACGAGGAGGCTGAGAGGGACCGGCTGAACATCAAGGCCCCCTTCGTCCTGGGTGCCGTGCCGGAGGGCAAGAAGAAGCAACCAGGAGAGTCAGGCAACTGAAATCTACCATACAGATTGTACACAGGTTTACTGCTGGATGTGTAGTGAGTAATTATCATCATATTCTTACACACCCGCTGCAATAAAATCCCCCATCTCCACTGCCATCACTTAGTGTACTTCCACCACTGCTGCGAAGGTTGCACTAAAATAAGAAACACAAATTGAACGTTTCTTGAAGGTTTGTGGATTTGAGTTAAAATTAAAAAAAAGTTATGCAAGTTATTTACTAGCCCGGATCCAGGTCCATCACAAAACCCGGTCTCGAGGCTCAGTTTAATCATGGCGTTCCCCAAGGCTCCATTCTGGGCCAACTGTTGTGTTCAACGTGCTTCCTCAGTTAGGCCACAGAATGATGACCTCCATCACTATGCAGACGACACACAGTTATATGTTCTAATGTAATCCAATAATGTCTAACTAATCTTGTCTGCCTTAATGACATTGAAATAAAAAATGTATTTTCTAATCACTTCTAATGTTGTATGCCTGTTAATTTGTCAGTCTGTCAAATATGTTAGGTTATTTTTGAGTATTTATATTGTATATTCTCCTCCTATGAAACAGTACTTTTGATGACTCATCTTGAACTCGGTGGTGTATACTTAATGTATCCTAATTAAATGTGATATAGGGCAACCTAGCCTCAAATGGAATGGAAAATGGTGTGTGCACATAAGACTTTGATTAATTTATATACTGGGTGCGCCATCATAAACACTGCTGTAGAACTTCAAAGTAGTTTAAAAAAAACGTAGACAATCTTAGACCAATAATGCTATGAATTCAAACTCTTTTTATTAAAACATTACATTGGGTATTTACAAAAACAACAGCTGTTCCTCTCCCTCACACGGAACCTTACATTCGAAAACAAAGACGATGTTGTCCAGCAGCTTTACAAATGTATGAAAGACGATCAGAAATATTCTCTCTTCCACACCGGCAGCTCCTGGAAATACACCTCGTCTGGGTTTTCATCGGCTGGATAAGAGAAAGAGAATAGAGAAATTTGGAATTAAAATATGAGTCTTGAGTCTAAGACAGAGCAAAGGATGTTTTTATATGAAATCCTTGAAAGTTTGTGGAATAGAATATTTGTCTTAAAAGATAGAGGGCACTAAAATATTTTTGTGTTTAAAACCATTAAAACGCCATATTAATGTACAATATTGGATATACAATATACACTATTTCTGTTACTGTATAGCGTAAATTGCATATCAGATATGTTACATTATATACTGTAATTGTACATACTGTTCTTAAATACTTATTTTCTCTCTTTTGCATACTTTCAAATGGCATCCAGAGTGGAGGGCAAGGGAGGAATTTCATTGCGCAGGAAAATTGTTTTTAACTGCATATGACAGTAAACACTTTGATCACATTGCAATGAACATGCTGGTGAGTTATACAACAGTTATCCAGCAGTAGTAGTTATATTACATTTATTTGTTGAAAAGCCACTTACAATAAGTGCAACTTGAAACTTAGTTTCAACATGTGGATATAACCCAAAATAGTAGTAATAGTTATCCAGTATGACCAAGAGAATCACTTCCATGATAGGGAGCTTTTAGCTTTATGAGCAGCAGAAAGTGTTCCGTTGACTGTTTGCCCTGGGTTTTGCCATATAGGCTCAATATAGTTGACGATACTGACTACCGAGGCATGTTATCTATAATGTGATTGAAGAAATATAAACACTAGAACTGAGTGTCAATCAGGTCAAAGCAGTAAAGGATCTTAAAAATACAGAATGTAGAATGTGGTATTTCCTAGATTTATATGAATATATGTAAATTCAGAGACTAGTTTTTCCCCCACTTCTAAAACCTCAGCCCTGACATATGATGTGCACATCTGCTCCAGCTGTGTGCCAGCCGGTACAGATTCTCCTCTCACCTCCCTCTCTGGCTTGCTGCAGGAAGTTCAGCAGGACAGTGGCTGCCTGGTCCACGCTCAGCTTCTCTGTGTTCTGACTGCGGGTCTCTGATGGGGAATAAACACAAATTATCTGTCCACCTCATTCCAGCTGCAAGACCTTTGGGGAACCTTCTCATTAATTAAAGAGCAATTTTGTTTAGTAATGTTCTCTGTACCTAAGTGTAATGTGTCATAGACATCTCCTTCTTTTCGGTCCTCTGAGATGAACCTGCGTCCCTCTGGGAAAAAGAAAAGAAAAACATGCATCAGCACACAGTTTTTTTGGAATGTAATAGCTTAAGTCTTCATTGAACAAGGACCATGTACAAAAACATGAATCTCAAAATGAGAAGAGATGATTTATAACAGATTTAGCTATTAACTCATTTCCATCTGCAGTCCCTGGGCAGGTACAAACAGAACAATCACCAGATACTAAACCATTCATCTACATGCAACACCAACAGTGTCTAGAAACAGATAAGAAAGGACTTATAGCTACAATATCACATTGTTTCCTTGTAATATGGAGACCAAGTGGTCAGTTTTTTAAAAATAAATAGATATGACATTATAGATAAAAATATAAGAATACACACAATATGCAATATACCATGACACTGAAGTAACCCAAACTCAGCTGATTTTTTTCACAATAAGTTGTTTTTATTCAGTTGACATTAACTTAAACTCTGACTGAAAAAAAAACAGACTGCCTTTAGAAATAAAATAAAATGTATAGATTATATTATTAATTGCATAATGTATTTAGTACTTCGGCTCTCCATTTAGGCCCGGGATCAGTAGGTAAATACATACGAGTGCCTTTGAGGTACAGCATAGCCTGCGGGGTCCAGTTTCTCCGCTGGAAAGAGCCCTTGAATGGAGAAAACAAAGAAAAAGACTTTGTTTCATCTGAAGGCTGTAACTTTTTCAGATTCTTTAGCTCTTTTCCTTCAGGTAGGCTACTTAGTGAAAACCTCGCTGTCAAATGCTCAAGAGAGAGAAATAAAGCAGCTTCACCTTTGGCGCGCTCCACGACTGTGAGATGAACGACGCCAGCAGTAAAAGGGTGAGCACGTAAGTTAATGTGATGGTCCGCAAACCCTATGGGAGATAAAGGTTGTCAGTCACAATTTTTTTAACACAGCAACAGAGGAAGACTCAATCCGACATGAGTGTTTCTGTGCGTAATAACGCGCGGGGTGCGCGCATTAGGAATCACTCCACCAAGCCTTCAATTCATGGAGTAACTTTGAAACTAAAGTGCAAAGTAGTATATTATGAATATAACTACTAATAATAAATAATACGAACCTTGTTTGAAAAAAAACCAAAACATTTTATCTGCAGTTAGAGGATGCGTAAAATGCCAGAAAATATCGGGCTACTCTTATAATAATCGGCTTCTGTAAAGTAATTCAGGATTTTTGAAATCAAAACCGTCTTTACTTTAATGAACTCCAAGAGAAAACTTTTTTTTTAACAGTATGTTTCAAAATGTTCCGGATATTATTTGTAGAAAAATGTGAAACTAGGCTGTTAAAAAAAGGAAAACCTTTCTTTATCCAACAAATGAAACCAAAACGCATTCTACTTACTTTCATGGTGTCAGAGATCCCGTGAGCCTGGTGTCCACAGAGTCCAATCTTCAAGGTAATCTCTGGTGGTGATCCCTCTCCCTGTATTTATATCCTCCGGGGCGGGGAACCCTCTCAGCCCCGCGCTCCTCCATGACGCCAGCAGCGATAGGTCACGCTGCCAGTTTGATGAACCGAGGGCGGTCAGGAGAGAACGAACGGAGAGTGAACGATCAATTGTGCTGCTTTCATTGAGAGCCGTTAATATACAGTAAATACTTCTGAATTAAAACAGCTGCCATGAGCACTTTCAGCTCCCCAAAGTAACTCATGTTGGAGGCGCAGGCCGTTATTGTAAAATGTGGGCCGGCTCTGTTGGGGTGGGGGTCGTTGGTATATGAGCAGTAATATTTCCCCTCTGTGAGAGTATTGATATGTTTGCAGCTTGCTCACTGGAGCAGAACACGGGGAGGTGAGGGCTGGATTTTATGAATCAAAAGGCCACACTCCCGATAATGAATGGAACTACACTGATATCATTAACTGAGGCAAGGAGGCAGTCAAGAAAGATAACTGGTCATTCCCAGATGATCAAATATCAACACACTGGGTTGGTGGCTTAAACCTTTGGGACCCAAAGCGTTGGTATTTGACGACCTTGGAATGAGACCCAACAATTACCTAGGCTATCTTTCTCAGCTCTGATTGGTTGTTTTTTTTTTTTTTCAATAAAAAATACCAACTGTAGTTTTAAAATTTGGCCATGGAAAAATATTTGATTTGACTACAAGTAACTGAATTATTTATTGTTAAGGTAACTTGGGTAAATTAAGTTCATTATATCAATTCCATTCAAACTAGTATGCTACACTCATGCAGAATATCTCCAACTTATTTAATGTGTTAACAGAATGACTCAAATTGAAGTAAGACTAATGTTACCACTTACATTTACTCAGCAAAAGCAAATTATTACATTTCCTGACGTACAATAGACAGAGAATCAAAAGTTATCCAAACTGCAGTTATTGTGTTCACTGTTACTATTTTTTTGTACAGTTTATATCCATTGTTCTCCGGTTACTCAGGACTCCCTTGTTGAAAATGGTTGGCAACCACTGATATAGTGTATAATAGGGCACAAATCTATTTAAGGTTTGAATAACATTCTTATTTTTAGGGAATAGCAATGGTGTAATGTAATGTTTGACTTCACGTTCAAAAATGAAAAAATATGGTTTATGATTGGACAATTTAGATTTCTGAATATGAGATTCTGCAAGAAGTAGGATTCAATTATTGATTATTATTATTATTATTATTATTATTATTATTGATATAGTATCGATTTCTTATGGTAAAAGAATCAGAAACAGCCAGACAATACATTTTCATATTAAAGGGTCAAATCAGTATCAATGTACTGGTCAATAAAGGCACAGATATCGTTCCAGTAAGAACCACTGTCATGAGATCAGTGGGGAAGACTTACTCTGTCAGTGCGTCACTCACATGAGCACACCTTGGAGACGCTAAAACTGCTGCTGTTACTTTTTGCAGTGTAAAATTAGTATCTGAATAATTTAAATTATAAAATTGGAAAAGTGGTTTTGGATAACAACAAACCGGACGACTGCTGCTGGAAAACGTCACTGGTGAATTCAAATCTATTTTAATAATTTAATAATAATTCCCAAACTGGGGGTTGGGACCCCACTAAGGGTCGCCAAAGCTTCTCAGGGGGTCTTTTTGATTTTAAGGGGTGTAAGAAAATATAGAAAATATACACAGTAGGACTATATCTCAGCATTTTGTGAGGAAAACTAAATAAAATAGATTATTATTGAAGGTGTAAACTTTGAAGAGCTAAACACAAGCTATATTCCCAGAGCCCCCACTGTTTGATGAACAGCCTCATCATGCATTCGAAAAAATAAAAAAAACAACAAGAGCCTGGAAAACCTGGAACTTTAAAGACTAGTTTTCCAGTCATGGAAACACCAGGGAATTGATTAAAATTACCAAGTATCCTGGAAATAATATATGTTGTCCTGGGAAAGAAAAACTATTTCTTTAAAAGAGTGGGAACACAATGACCAATCGTCAGGGAGAAGAAAACACAGAATTTGCCCAAAAAGAAGCCTATCAAGTCCGTACAGCCAGAGAATTGTATAAAAAGTTCCTAAAAATATCAGCAAAACTAATTTCTGATTAAAACGTTTTTTTTCCCAATAACATTTTATTTTTATGCATTGAATATAATATGAAATATCCATAAAATATGTCACATAGTCAGTTGAGAGAAAAGGGCTTCCTTAAGGAAAAAGGAGTGGACTAACATTTAAGTTTTCTTGCACCCCTTAAAATCAAGATGGTTTGTGACCCTAGGGGGGTGCCGACCCCCAAGTTGAGAACCATTGGTCTTCGTAGCTTTTGTTATCACATATCTGTACTGTCTGCTAGATAAAAAAGAAAGTTCAGAATAATTCAGTTCAGGAGTGTAATTTAGAGGCAGTTGCTCTATGAGCTCAGCACGCTCCAATACGGGAAATTCTCAACGAGGAAGTGAAAGGCAGAATGGATGAGATGGAAAGATGAAAGTCAGTACTGTGCTACGTATTGTTTCCTCTTTATGTTGTCCCAGTCAACATGTGTGCCCAATTCATTCTTAAATTATTCCTAAAACCTTTGACCTTGACCTTAGTGAAAGCTGTCATTAATTCAGTGTCCAACCAATGGTCACAGTCCCCCTTCGTTCCGAGTTATGCTGTGAATAACGGCCAAAAAAAAAACTTTATGATGCCACTGTGAAACTTCATGTTTCAACTGACCTTTGACCTTGTTGCATCCCATAAACATGCCTCTGGCCACTACTATTGTTTTGTGTTTTGAAGATGTCAGATACATGCTTTTGTCCACGAGGTTTAGCTATGTTACATGCCTTCACAGCTTGTTTCGCCACTATTTTTTCAACTAACTCTGTGAATTGAGGGTTTTTGCTGGCAATATTTGGGAAGACTGTGGAAAGAATAACAAAGTTGTTTCTGTCCAGTTTGAAGTGTGTTTTATGATGATCTGCTATTTTTTATTTTTCCACCTATAATATTTCAGTTTGTTTTTTAATTGAATTGTTCACATTATAGGTCACATTAAAGGTGGAAAAAGTGTGGACATGATTTATTTTTGTCTCATTTTTTTACATCACAAAAACCTGGCATTTTATCAGGGGTGTGTAGACTTTTTATATCCGCTGTATATGGCAGCTGGCTGGTAGTAAAGTGTGTTCCACTACCAGCCTCCAGAATAGAAGAGAGCAGGCATATGTCACTTTTCTCTCTTCACGCCTCCCTTTTGGGTAAAATGAGCACTTTAAAAGTGCGTAGTGGCATCATGCCGCTGTATTTTGCACATCAAACAATAACCCCCCCCCCAAAGTTTAGGTTTTTCATTACTTCCCCAAGGAGCGAAGGACGGTAAAAGAAAAGCAATCCACAAAGAGGATAATGAGGGTAACCTGTGGGACCCAGACAGCCAATATGTGTCTGTCTGGCAAACACTTGATAACAGGTTAGTTGATGTTACTGAGTAAAGGACATGTGTTCCAGTCTCAGTGATGGTGTAAATAAAGTTTTTACAGTGATAAAATATGGCCCTACCATAAAACAGCTGCTGTTATAATGTGGTTTGGTATGACAGTGTAGAGCAGAGGGTATTTTAACCTTAATAATTCACATAAACTGAGCTGACCTACCTTCTGATAATGAACCTTGCCAACAGCTTAATGTAACGTAGGAAGAGGAGATAAAACCACAGCGGTATAATTACAGTAACACATTGGACAGCCACCGTAAAACAGCGAAATAAAAGGTCTTAACAGAAAAAGTGACAGATGTCAGAAATATTAGTATATGTAGTATAATAGTATATATATGTTATATATGTTGTATAGGTTAGATTTGTCCACTTGGATAGATGCAGACTTAAAGAACACTCAACAACGCCTATATAACGACATATCAGTAACATATTGTTTGCCTGGCTGGCCATAGAAAAATGCTATATTTTCTATGGCTATATTATTGGCAAAGACCTTTAATAGGTCTATAGGTTTAATACTGACCACCAGTCAAATAACACAAGGCAAAAGTACCTGTATGAGCTTCCCTCATTCAAATTAAAATAATAATAATAATAAAAATAATAACTTTATTTGTATAGCACTTTTTTAAAAACAATGTTTACAAGTGCTTTACATACAAAAAAAAAAAGTAGCAATATATGCCAGAGACAGAATACAACCAAAAAGACAGAATACAACCAAAAAGACAGAATACAACCAAAAAGACCCAGAATCAGAGAATTTTGGACACAAAGGTTGCACTAAAGACAGAAGGAAGTAGTGGAGTGTCAAATACAATCGCCCTACAGTCAGACACGGACATATATAGATTTTGTAAATGACTGCTACTCCACTGCTACGACCAGATAGCCTGTGTTGTTGGAAGTGATTCAAACTAGGAGTGGAGCTTCAGTGGAGGAAAATTGCCTTGGCTAAGCCAGGTTTCAGTAATCATAAAGACTCCACATAGATTAATAAATAAATAGAATTAATAAAATCGTGGCAGATAAAAGACTTCCAAAAGTCCAAACCTGGCTACAGTGGGAATGTGAGGGCTATTTTTAGCAGAGTGAGGTGCAGACAGTGGGTTTTAAGATTATGATAATTATTGCCTCTGGGGCTAGTCCACAGCTTTACTGTCTTCACTCTTTTTCTTATAATCACTGTAAAATTGGCTGTATTTTGATAGGCCAAGCATCCTCTAATACTGACCCAGAAACAGAATTTATGTTACGTGGCCCCTGTGGGGGTCAATCAGTGACGGAGATGTCCACTCTGTTCCTGGCTGGCGAGTGGTCACAGGAGGCAGAGCGATGATGGCGATGTCGTTGAGTAAAATATGTTACTGGCCAACATTTGTGAGCCACGGTGGTTGGGGTGGAGACCATCGCTTTTAAAGAGCGGAGTGTTTCCAAGAAAGATCACAACTATCAATAAAAACATCTATAGCTTTATCTTTGTCAGAGATTCTCCAAGTGAGTGGACTGGGCTTTACTGGAGGGATGAATAAATATAGGGTATATGGATAATGAAAAATCTGATTTAGAGTGCATGTAAAGAGTAAATGACACGTCAGGAATAAATGACCACAAACAACATGGATGGCAGATACAAAGCTAACTTCCATAGTATATTTAAAAAAGTGCCATACAAGAAAAAACATTGTCATTTCACAGGTAACATCTGTTTTGTGGATCCTCTGAACAGAAAGACCCACAGTTTGAGAACTCATTTATTCAATTCCTGGCTTGCGGTGGATGATGTCTGCCATGATGAAGAATTTTCTCTCTCTCTCAGGAGTATTTGAACATTTAATGCTCAACAGAGAGTTTAAGGAGCCTAGATGAACACATGAATGAGGAGAGACTTTGACTCTAGCCCCTAGAGGGATTCTCTGGGTCTGATCAAACTATTGCTCATTTCGATAGAAAAGGTCCACAAATATGTGAAGCTGCTTCCTATTTTACAGACTGATATTGTTACAGGGTAGAGTGTTAATTCTCCAGTTTGAAAAGAGTTCATTTGTTTGCTCTAAATGACTGAAATAACTCTGACATTTTTCTGCTACGTTTATTACAACTTGGGTCATATTTTCATAGTTTTGGCTTTAATAAAACCAAGTTGAAATAAACCACAAATATGATTTAAAAACAAATTATTTCACAGACCATTTTCCAAAGCTTACCATACATTTCTAGATCCTTCCAGGCAGCCACTGATGTCAGCTCATTTCAGTATGCTATGAAAATCATCATGCAGAGAATTACAGCATGCTGCCTCATATAATCAATTACGATGGATGTTAAGTTTTGAAAGGTTTCCAAGTTTTAATGTTTAATGCTTTTGTGGAAAACTTTTTGTACCCAAAAAGGTTGCTACTTACCACAAAAGAAGCTAACTTTACCCAAAAATTACAAAATGTTTCTTGCAACAGTTAATCGATTAGCTGCCAACTATTAAATGAATTGCCAACTATTTTGATAATTGATTATTTGCTTTGAGTCACTTTAAGAAAAAAATGTCAGAAACTTCTCTGATCACAGCTTCTCAAACAGGATTTTCTGGTTTCTTTGTCCTCTATGACAGTAAACTGAATATCGTTGGGTTATGGATAAAATAAGATATTTGAGGACGTCACCATGGGCTTTAAAAAATCTCAGTCAATATTTTTCAGCGTTTGGTGATATTTTATGGACAGTACAATGAATCAATTAAACAAGAAAATGACAGATCAATTGATAATGAAAATGATATTTAGTTGCAGCTGTACTAGCAATAAGACTAAGTTTAGTCTCTTCTAACTAAAATGAGGTGAAACCAATAGCTGCTTGGAAGGTTGGAACTCCAGAAACTGATGATGTGCTCTGAAAAAAACAGAAAGGCAGTTCTGGTCACACCAGCATTTAAAACAGCTCTTATGTGACAGCTAGTCACTCTGTGGACAGTTGTACCAGAGACACACGGAGGTTAGACAGGTATGAGACAGGAGGTTAGACAGTTATGAGACAGGAGGTTAGACAGGTATGAGACAGGAGGTTAGACAGGTATGAGACACACGGAGGTTAGACAGTTATGAGACACACGGAGGTTAGACAGTTATGAGACAGGAGGTTAGACAGGTATGAGACAGGAGGTTAGACAGGTAGAGACAGGGTTAGAAGTATAACAGGAGGTTAGACAGTTATGAGACAGGACGTTAGACAGTTATGAGACAGGAGGTTAGACAGGTATGAGACAGGAGGTTAGACAGGTATGAGACAGGAGGTTAGACAGGTATGAGACAGGTATGAGACAGGAGGTTAGACAGGTATGAGACAGGAGGTTAGACAGGTATGAGACAGGAGGTTAGACAGGTATGAGACAGGAGGTTAGACAGGTATGAGACAGGAGGTTTCTTGAATAAACTCTACAGTACTTTCCGGTTACGGCTGAGCTACCTCGCCTGCTGTTTGGGGAGCACTAGCAGCAGTGTGCTCCTGGTTGGCCAGTGTTCACCGTTAGCTCTCCAGCTACAGTAGTTTCCTAGCTAGCCTTGTGGGTAGTCACTACGTTACCCAGCTCCAAGCACCACCTGGAGGACTGTGTGTGTGTGTGTGTGTGTGTGTGTGTGTGTGTGTGTGTGTGTGTGTGTGTGTGTGTGTGTGTGTGTGTGTGTGTGTGTGTGTGTGTGTGTCACTGTGAATTAGGGGTTGGCACTTTCTGGTGTGACCAGACTACGGTTGCAGCGGTTTCACGATATACCCTGAAAAAAGGAGCAGTTATCATATCATGTACATTTACTTATCTACAATATTGAATGAAAAATTTGCAATGCATGTTGAGATCTTTTAGGCATTATAGAAAGTGAAATATATATAATTATTTTAATTGTAATTGAGGGAATTGCTAGTAGTTCGGTGACCTTTTGGCAGGGACTGCTGCGGAACGTCCAGAATTCACAGGGATTGGTTGAATTTGTGTTAATTATTACGACTGCAACATCACAACTTCCTGGAGGGACTGTACAATTTTGTGATATTATATTATTCTCTCTTCAATCACAAAACCCGTTTTCATTCCTTTGAGGGTAATTCAAACTGATAATAATAATAATAACTGTGTATCACTGCATACCGTGAAACCGTGCTATTTTCTGAGACAGTTATCGTACTGTAAAAATCTCATACCAATGCAACCTTCCAGCAGACTTAAATAGTATTAGCAATAATAATCCTAACAAATACAAATATGATCCCATAACACCTCACTTTAAATGAAGTGAAGTACTCATCTTTTTAAAATAATTTATACTGATTAGCCAATCGTAAACAGAAATGACATATAACAAAGGGAAGATATTACCACAGACACACTTGGTATTCAAATAGCTGCGAGACAAAAAGAAACAAAGTGTCACAGAATAAAGAGACAAACTGCTAGACTTCAAAGCTTTCCTCCAAATAAAGTTAAAGCACAGGCACAGAAATGTGACAATATGGCAAGCTGTCGGTCCACTTCTCATCCTTGTGGAGGGTCGCTAGTTTTGGCTGTTGTATTCCACGGAGTAAGAAAGTCACGTAGACAGAGTCGATGGTGCTTCATTAAGAGAGTATTCCATCCTCCATTTTCGTGCCAGAGGCACTCAACAGCAGAGGGATCAATAGCATTAGAAATATTTATTGTAGTGACCTTAGTAACTCCACCCTTTAGTAACAGACTGGTGGTGTAACGCTCTGATGAACCTTTGATTGGTAGCGCTGACCAGTGACATTACAGACAGACAGAAAGCAGTCTCTACCTGCTGGAGGGTGGGGGGAGGAATCTGAACATATAGCCTGCTTTAAATTAGCCCCATGGGCATGTTTTAGAAAACCTGCTGTACTCAAACAGCTTTCTCTGGGTACAAAAAGTCTCTGTTATACCATGGTGTTGCTCTCACCCACTTTGTCCACATACTGAAAGAAAAGAGAGAAACAGTGTTAAGTGTCATCTGGGTGATTCTCAGCTTCTCTCGTGTACAAAGCATGATCTGACACAGACCTGTGAACTGTTGGTGAGATGCAAAATGTTAATGCAAGTTAGTGTGAGAACCGATGCCTGACTGCACGGTTTGCCCACTATCCTGAAGCACATTATAATGGAAAGCATGCATGACTTAAGGAGACACACCACAGGTGAACAGGACAAACACAATTACTTCCTGTTATTAAAGTTCTGGTTGTTTTGTCGTTAACATTTGGAAATTATTTAGACGGGATTTCATTGAAAATTTGAAAAGTTGAAAACTGTTTTGTCTGAGTTCAGATTTGATTTTAATCTGAAGACTAATTTAACAGTGAACAATTTAAAGAACACAAGAATTTCTGATGGTATCATTTGTAATATCTCAAAACAACAATCCATGTTAGCAAAACATTAGCTAACTTAAGTTATACTATGTATATATGTATAGCATATCTAAGTACAGTTAACAAAGTGACTGCTGCCTACCGAGCTACTTCAATTGTTATTGGATCACATCCTACAACAGGGTGGGACTTTGGAAGGGTCAATTATAAACGTTCTTGACAAGGTGACCTTAGAGGAATGGGACCCCCAGAAACTCAAAAATGGGAGGCTCTTGAGGAGCCGCTATAACCTAAGGTGAGGGTCATGGGAATGACAGGGGTAGCTGAGCTAGCACTATCACTAGTGGGCTAATCTGACAGCTGACCACTACAACAATATTATCTCATTCACAACAATTGTTGTGGGATCAGATGTCTATTTGGTTAACCAACTAAATTGTCCGCATTAGTATTTATAGTATTCGTTGTTAATGTAAGCCTGAAACGTATATGGGTTGATCAGAAGCTGCTATATTTATTAGATTTACAACATTCACATTTTACTCTGATGATCAGATATTTCTTCAGCCATACATTCTGAACAGAGTTAGTGCAGTAAGTCTTTTGTTGGGTGACAGACCCATTAATCTGCTTGTTGTAGCCGTTTCTTAAGAGCGTCCTGGTCCAAAATACAAGTTTTCAGTTATCCACTTTAATATAGTTCAGGACAAAGTGCTTCACAAAGAAAGGAGAGACAACAGTTCGTAGTACTAATATTAGTGTCTATAGTCGTTTTTCACTATTTTTTTTAGCTTTACTGGTTAGCTACAGTAACAAGCCAGCTTTTGAGGCAGATTATGACCAGTATGTTACCAGTGAGCCTGTAGCTCACCAACTAGCCCTGTTGGTACTCAGTATGCCATTAAACTTGATTTTCTGAGGACACAGATGAATTTTGCTGTGCAACTTTCCAGATCCTCTAAAATAATCTAGGAAGGGCTGCAAAGATGTGGAAAGTGCAATTCAATAATTAACGTGGACTTCATAGTTCTGTGCTTTGTACAGTTGAAATATACATTGTAAGATTGAGTTATAGAAGAAAAATTGAATGTATAAAGATTAACCAATTCACAAATCACTATATTTACCTGTAGTGTGTGCCTTTAAAGTCAAATAAATCAATCAAAGGTGCAGTAGGTACTTTTATAAAATATTTTGTCAAATTTGCTGAAACTTTCACTATATCCTGACAGTAGAACACGAGACAGATAATCTGTGAAAGAAATCAAGTTCCTCTGGCTCCTCCTAGTGCTCCTAATGGATTCTTGCTAATGCCATCAGGAGCACTAGGAGGAGCCAGAGGAATCAGTCTCATGTACTACTGTTTGGAATATAATTCAAGCTTCAGCAAATATGACAAACATTTATTTTCACAAGTGACCTACTGAAGCTTTAAGATAAAAAAAAATAAAAAAGGATTACCAGCTCCATAGACAAAAAATATCATTTCCCTTTTATCCTGAGACTCTGTTTATTGTAAATATATTGTAAAGCGTGTTAAATGTTAGCATGCAAGGGAAAATCGGCAGTGACTGACCACGACTGCTGATTGTCCTCAGAGCCTTACGAAGGCTTTAATAAAAACACAAAGACAGAGAGACATTCACCTCAAAGCAAAGCTTCCCTCACAACAGCATGGTAGGAGCATGTTCATTAGCCACAAAGCTAACTATGTGTCTGCTAACTTGTACTTCTAGATTTCAGTGACAGTCGCCATTGGAGACTTCATATGTCTTACGGACTGGAGGTAAAGCCCAGAGGACCCCGACATCATTTCTGCCTTTTTGTCGCTGAAATTCCACAACATTCCCGTCATGTCTACTGATTTTTAGTCCTTTGAATTCATCTGTGTTTTCAGGCAGTCTCCAAGTGGATTACTGGCCCAGGCATTGCTTTATTAAACCGGCTGTGATGTGCAGAGCTGTCATTTGATCGGGCCACTTTGGTTAATCTGTTGTGGTCGTGGTGTTTGAACAGGGTGATTAATAAACAAGAAAGAGGAGCCATGCTGCATGTAAACAAAGCAGAGCTGCAGCGTTGCCGCATTGCTGGGTAATACTTACTGCACTGATGAAGGGCAGGTTGAGGATTGAGCCAAGGACAGGTATTCTTCTGATAAAGCCTACTACAACTGGGAAGAAACCCCTGGATGGGATGAGAGTGAACGAAAGCACGAGACAAAGACAGAGAGAGAAGATAGTCAGAGCCTAATATAACTGCACAGAGCAAAGACAATGAGCACGGACAAATAAAAGAAGCTGTCTTTAGGCCTGGTGGTACGGCAGCAGAGACGCCATAACACTTCAGTTAGTGTTCATTTGGTCAGCATTTTTTTTTTTATTCAGTCTGTCTTTTGTGAAATGTCCTTGTTAGTTTTCATCATATTTAGTCAATCTCTTCTGTTTGTTTTTTTTGTCAAGTTTTGGTTGACAAAGTCTGGGCATTGTAGTTTTACCAGAAAAACTAACTACATTAGTATTAGTCAATGAAATCTGATGTTTTGATTTCAATTCAACTATACATACAAATAACATCATTTACACTTTTCCTATAGAGCAGGTTTAGACCGTATTCTTTCTAAAATGATTTACACTTAGACCAAACAATTCCCAATTTTAGTCTTTACAGTCTTCAGAATATATTAAACATTTCAGTCTATCTAGTCTAGCCGAAACCAATAATTGTTTGTCATTTTAATACCATATTACTATCTGATGAAAAACACAGAATCCACAACACAGCCTACATAATGTAACGCCACCTCTTTACAGTCCCTTTTTTTTGCAGGCTGGCCTAAAATACCTGATTTCACAGCTGCTTTTCTAATGTGATGCATGTTGCAACGTTTTAAGGCAATTTGTCTAAATGAAAACTATTATTAAAAATCAAAGGCAACTTGTTCTAGTGAGAATGAAAGTGCTAGCGAGACAGCTGTGGCTCAGGAGGTAGAGCAGGTCGTCCACTAATCACAAGGTTGGCAGTTCAATCCCCGGCAGTTGAATGGTCGCTATAAGTACAGTTCATTTAGTACTTTGGTGACGTATGGCTCCACGTTTTGCACAGAGGATTGCTATAATTGGTAAAACTTGCAGGAAACCACAGTGATTGGTCAAATTTACAGAAACGTTGATGGACAAAGTTGCAGTCACACAGAAATCATAGGGATTGGTTGAATTTGCATTAACTGTTGCAATTGCAACTTCACAACTTCCTGGAGGAACTGGCTTAATATAGCTTGAAAACAACATTCACAACATTTTAGGGACTGGATCCTGTGATGGATGCAGCTCATGTGGATCTAAAGCCATGAAGGAACCTGTACTTAAAAACTGACTGCAACAAATCTGGACTGCATTTGGGAGAGCTTGGAAATGAGACAAGCCTTGTTGATCTGTTATGAAGGACTTGATGTAGGTCTGTTGAGTTTAGAGGATTTAGCTCCTAATCTAGGACTCGGCTTCAAATCACATCTCTCAAATCAAGTCCCTTCCTCCCAACTTTAAATCCCAAACATCCTGTATTTCATATTGAAAAAAGATCAATTCAATTCAATTCAGTTTTATTTGTATAGCGCCAATTCATAACAGAAGTTATCTCAGGACACTTTTCAAATAGAGCAGGTCTAGACCGAACTCTTTATAACATTATTTACAGAGACCCAACAGTACCACCATGAGCAAGACACTTGGCGACAAGGGCAAGGAAAAACTGCCTGTTAAAAGGCAGAAACCTAGGACAGATCCTTCGGCTCTAGGTGGGTGGTCGTCTGCCTCGACCAGTTGGGTCAGTATCTCATATTTCCCTATTTCATGGGACCTCACATGAACCAGTCTGCTGTTTCTCAGCCTGTGCTGCTGTTGTTTCCTCTTACCTGAAAAGGAGGAAAAAGCCATAAATCTCCAGCACAACTCCGATAATGGGCCAGCCGATCAGCACCACGAACACGCCTCCCAGGAAGAAACTGGTGGCCTTCATCTTGTGCTTCTGGAAGAAGAAGCGGAAGGTCCTCTCCAGCCCGATGACAAAGGCGAGTCCAGCAACAAACAGGATCTGTGGCACAAAGCGGGTGGTTTGATATTAGAGAGCAGTCGAGTTATTTGAAACTAGTTACTCAGACTGTGAGCAAGTGCTGGTTGGTGCTAGTATTAATATTAGGACTACATATGGTATACATTTGAATTTAAAGCTACAGTAGGTCATTTTTATGGGAATGAGACTCAATCAAATATATTCAAGCCATCAACCGAAAGCCTCTTTCCATCTTTCTTAGCTCTGATTGGTTGTTTTGATCCAGGCTCGGTGGATTCTTGCAAATACCATTAGGAGCACTAGGAGGAGCCAGAGGAAGCAGATTTTTACACAGATTATCTGTCTGTATACTCCAGCCAGAATATAGGGACAGTTTCAGAAAATATGACAAAAATATATTTTTGTAAAAGCTACCTACTGCAGCTTAAATATTCTTGATGTTGACAGTTGTCAAGCCAACTAACCAAATAATCGAAAAACAAGAGAGCAAAGAGAAAAAACTACCCACAGCAAACTTTTTGCATCAAAATCAAACAAAAAAAACACCTGATTTGACGTATTAAAGTAGGTTTATTTATCTACTTTGACTATATGTGAAAACTATTTATTTTTCTTCTGTGGCTGTGGAGGAGCTTTGTCAAGTCAGAGGACATAACCCTGATGATGTCACAGTGATCTCACCAGCTGATCAGCACCAGCTAACACAGGAAAGAAAGCTGCACCTGTACATTTCTCAGATAACATCAGCACCAACACCTGAAGCAGAAACACTCACATTTCCTATCGCCAGGAGGGCTTTGTCGAAGAACAGGATCATCCCGAAGAAGAGGAAAAACACACCGAAGCCTGTTAATCCCATTCCAATCTCTGCAGGACACACACACACACACACACACACACACACACACACACAAACACACACACACACACCACAGAGAGGTCGAATTATTCCATCTGAGTTAAACACTCGGCTCTGATGATAAAATGCAGAGCTTTAGCTCAAATGTGATTGGCCACAGGTGAACACCATGTTAAACTGACTGTTGAAGCACGTTGAAATCACGTGGAAAGTGAGATTTGCAGAAGAGGTGCTATAGAGTAAGACAGGTGATGATGCAGGTCTTAACTGTTGATGTTTATGTTCACACTTAACTGAATGGGTTCAGTATTGTCCATTGACAGTGTCTTTAGAGAACCCCATGAAGACATAATGACAACACTTCAGTAAATAAATCACAGCTCTCCGTTTGAGCTGGTCCAAGCTTTTAGGATACGGAATTACGACATGTAACGTTATCTAAGTTATTAAGACTATAAAGTCAGTGGCTATCAGAAGTCACACAACTAGCAGTAAGGGTTAGCTGTTAGCTGTTTGGCTAGCTGACTGCTGCAGAGGAAGCCGGTTGGAGAGAGAGAGAGCGGGAAACACAAAGCCTCTTACTCTGGGAGTCCGTCAGCGAAATCATCTTGACGACGAGAAAATGTGTGAAGATAAAACAGAAAGGGAGAAAATATTAGAGTGGAAGTTGAAGATCTCCTCTCAGAATAATTTGGATGACAGCTGCCACTGCAGCAACAGCCACGTCTTCCGGAAACACACCTTCTCGCGATGTCATCTTCCGGAACAGCGCCGTGTTGCATTCAATGTGGCAACTTTAGCATCGTTCTTTAGAGTTGCGAAGTGAGAGTACTTCATTTATTTGATTCATTTATGTCATTTTTTATATCACATACTTCATTGTCTCCGTGTCAATGTTTAATGTCTCGTATATAGTTGTCTGTTCATTCTACATTGTTGAAATGTAATAACTGTGATGACCGATTGCCTTATAATTAGTCAAATTAAATTTCATGCAGTAAAGATGGAAAAAAACTATCAACAAAAGTTATGAAGTGGGAGGAGCTGTTTCTGAAGCCTCTTGTTCCGGAAGTAAAAGTCCATTTCATTTTCTATGTACTCTATATGTACTCTGCTGGTATATCACTCACTTACTAGACTGCATATGCCACGTATATTTACTTAAAATGTAAAACATTTCAACACTCCGAAGGTATTGTTGATATCCAATGAACATTTTTAATGAACGCATCACATGTACAGTAAATAGTTAATTTGCCCCGGTGTTTGCCTGTCAGACAGCGCTTATGTCGACCTGATGATATTTTAGCTTCAAACCAAGTATGTATTTAACCTAGATTACATCCATCTTATTCGTGGAATACCTTAAAACGAGTCATGGTTTGTAAAGTGTGTTAATTCATCAGCAGGAGGTGGCAGCCTGACAGGCTAAACTCAGGGCTCAGCGGGCTCAGCTAGCTCTGCCTCGGCGCGGTCTACTAACGTTATAGCAACCGTGAAGTGGATGCAGCAACAAGGACGGGCCGGGGACGGAGTTAATGAATGGTTAGTCAGGAAGCCATTTCTCTTTTATGCTTCCAAAGTCTTGTCTCAGACGGATAAGCGAATTTGAGCTCACAACAGAGAGGGAAAGTTTTTCGAGTAGCTCGGCTCATCTTGCTAGCTAACGTTAAATAGAGAGAAGTTGAGTGAGGTGCCAGTTTACCATGATGCTCTGCTCCAGTGCACCGTGCTGGTTAAGTGTCCGTTAAACTAACGGCTGTGTGTGAGAGGAAGCAGGTGCAACGCTGGTGAGGCGTTGCTAAGTTAGCTTAAGTTAAGATGCATGAATTGTGGCCAGCTATTGGGGCTTGGTGTTAATGGAACTAAACGTGGCACTTAACGTTACTGTGTAACCACAATTAACTACTAACGTTACTGTGTAACCACAATTAACTACTAACGTTACTGTGTAACCACAATTAACTACTAACGTTACTGGGTAAGGAACTTAACTTCTAGCATAAATTATTGTAACAATTACTAAGTTACCTTTGCTGTGTTCCACTGAACAAACGGTGAAAGTAGAAGTTGTGTATTCACATAAACAAGCAGTAACTCAATTATATGAGCACCAATAAAACAAGTAATCTTTATAAAAATAACTTTAATAACCCACCGGACAAAAACAACAAATCAGAGCCAAGAAAGATGACAGACACTTTGGGGTAGTGGCTTGCAGATAGTTGATTGAAGAACAATGTTCTCTGACTATCTGTTTCATGTTCTACTGTCAATTTGTGGATGTTTTTCTGTCTTGCAGAGAATCATACGATCACACAACATCTGACAAGTTGGCTCCTTTCTGAGCAAATCAGTCTGAGAAATATGGATTATGGTGGCAGAAGTAGTGGTAAGTCTCCTATTATTTCCAAGCCTAGAAACAAACTGTTGATATATTTAGTCAGCAAACTACTTTGCATCATTTTTATTAGCATGAAAAATGAGCCAGATGTCATTAAAGACCTGCTGAGTGCTGAGATGTAACATGGTCCACTGTTGTAATCAGGCTGTTGTTTTTGTATGAGAGGAGGTTCTAAAGGCTCACTGGGGAGGTGCACGGAGAAGGAGTGAGATCATTAATGTGGAGGTGTGATCCTCAGAGGATAAGTACCTGTGGAGGTGTGAGACCTGATTGTCTCCTCCCTGTTCATACTATTAGGATAACTCCACTGAGAGAACCTGCTGCACAAATGACTATCCCTGTGTTCTAATTTTACACTTAATACGAGGGCTAAGTATAGTTTGCAAAATTTCAATAGTAGTGCCAGTATGATACCTGAGTTTCAGTAACAATGCCAGAATGATACTTCTGATCGTTTTCTACACAAAAACACTTTTACAAAATATGCCAAACTTGGAATTAATTATTAATAATAATTACTAACTCTTAATCTGAGCCTGGGTTTCTGAGTCAGTCTAAATGATAGTTTCATAGTAAATGCTAGGTGACATTTATGGTTTGAATGGCCAGGATCATTTATATTTAATAACTGTCAACAATATTTTATGCCAATTATAGAACTTTTTACACTAGATCAGACAGCAAACTTGAACACCAGTATGTAAGTCAAAGCAGCAACTACACTGTCAGCAGCACTGCAAGGAGATGATGAGGGAATGAGACAGTGTGTGGACGTGGACAGAAGATGTGGACTGTGAGCAGTTCATAAGCTAGCACATACAGTAGTTTATAATAATGCTGCATTCTGACAGTTCAAAACTCTCTAAAACAACGGAATGTGTTCGTGAGCAATAAAAAAGCTCTGACCTGCCACAAGCGCATTACTTTGCAGAAAGTATTATACATATTGATAATGAACAGATTAGAAATTCACTGGTGAACTCCTGTATAAAACATCTATTAAGGGGGAAAACAATAGATTTGGATTTTTTTATTAACTGATAAAAACTCGGCTTGATAGTAAAGCTGAAACAATTAGTTGATTAATCCATTAATAATATTAATAATATAATAATAATATTTGAGGTCCTTTATTTAGCAATACTGCCCAGCATTCTCCAATATAAAGATTTGTCACGTTCCTCTTCATTATAAATTGAATATTTTGGATGTCGTGGACATTTGATAGACTGAACAGGTAATTCATTCTGATAGACAGGGCTGTTTAGTGTTAAACTGTATTGAAACTGCTGATTTGAGACGTGAACCCAGAAACAGACTGCAGCTTGTAATAGGAGACACGCTGTCTTAATGGCTTTCACTGATGGGATGTGAAAAGGGCAATTTGGCCCATTATGTGTGTTATAGATTCTGAGAAGTCGTTCTCAAATGGGAGTTTTATATGCATACTGTGTCCAGCATTATTCATGCTGTGTTGTCCCCGTCCAGATGTGCAGGGGGAGCTGGACTCAGTGGAGGCAGAGCTGGAGCTGGTGGAGCTGCAGATCGCAGACCTCCTGCAGAAGCAGACTGAGCTGACTACTCGTAAGAATGCTCTGCTGCAGGAGCTGGAGGAGGCCTGTGATGCTGCGCAGCCATCCTCTTCCTCATCCTCGTCTTCTTCAAAGTCATCCAGAGCTGATGCAGTAATGAGCAAGCAGGAGATGCAGCGCTTTGATAGCACAGGTACTGTACACACGGCTGTACAGTTAGTCAGTGGGTTTGTGTGTCGACCTGTGTTAATCTCTTAATGTTTGATAGATTTCCCCTGGTCCAAAGAAGTGGAGCAGCACCTGAAGGACTCGTTCCACCTCTCCAAGTTCAGACCGCTACAGCTGAGGGCTGTCAACCTGACCCTGTCCGGCAAAGATCTGTTCCTGGTAATGCCCACAGGAAGAGGAAAGAGCCTCTGCTACCAGCTGCCTGCAGTCTGCTCCAAGGGTAGTGTTACATCCACTTTACAGTTTATAAGATAATTCTGTTTCTTCTGTGAGTCTATGAGTGTACATGTTTACTGACTCAGCTCTCCTACTGTAATAACGTCACATGTATGTTTGTGTGTATATGTGTGTATGTGTGTCAGGTTTTACATTGGTAGTCACTCCCCTGGTGTCCCTGATGGAGGACCAGATCATGTACCTCAAGTCCATTGATGTGTCAGCAGTCATGCTGAATGCGTCCAGTAGCAAGGTAACAGGTGGCAGCCATATTCTGCTTATTTGTTTTAGTCTGTTAATCTCTTACACCTCAGGTTCCACAGAACACACACAAGAAATGTTGACATTAAGGACTGTGGATTATTTGAATTACTAGGGACACTTACTGGAAAGACATGTTGCTGTTGATTTGAAAAAAAACAAAAAACAGAATGAGAGTCGCTCCTCAGCAGCACACTAACCTGAGAGTGCCTGTGAGAGGAACAGCTGGAGAGCCAAAATATTTCCCATCTTATTTACAACAGTAAATACAGTACTGAGGTGATTTACAGCAGCTCTGACCAGGACTCCGCCCCCGGGGATAACGAAAATATACGGCAGGGACAGGTTGGGCATCAGAGAGGCAGTTTGGGGGATGTGCAGTGGAGCAGCACGCACACGATGGCCGGTTAACTTATAGCCCAACACTAATAGATAGCAACCTCCTCAATTTCAGGTGTATCTTTTATAACATTCTGTACAAAGTCAACAGCATCATCGTCCACTGAGATGTGTCTCTAATATATGGCACTTCCATAGACATTGCCCAACCATAATTATAGGCTGTTGTGTGTGTTTTTGCGTGTCTGTTGGCATGCACACTTGTATGTGCTGTGTCTTATTGACAGCAGGCTATTGATGGAAATGTCAGTCAATCACTTAACTGTCTCATTTTGCTAGCATGGCCTAGTAGTGGCCCCCCCACAAAAGGGTCACTTAAATCTGCCACAGTGGAGACTTTTCATAAATGTAAATATTGAATATTGTGATGTATCAACTGTAATGGGTTTTTATTTTACCAAAAAAGAGACTGTTTTAGTTTGTAAAGTCATCGTTCATCTTGTGACAACAATTCAAAAACAAAATGACCTTTTTTTAGGAGCACGCCAAGACAGTCATGGCTGGAATGACGGATCCCAAGTCCCCTTTCAAGCTGGTATACGTGACTCCAGAAAAGATCGCCAAGAGCAAGCTGCTCATGTCTCGTCTGGAGAAAGCCTACAACGCGAACCTGCTGAGTCATATCGCTGTGGACGAGGTGCACTGCTGCAGCCAGTGGGGACATGACTTCAGACCAGGTGAGAGGTCTCCTGCCTTCACTAGATGGAAGTATCCTAAGATTACCTTCAGATTAAAATCTAGGTTTGTGTTCAAAGTTGATAAAGGTGTGTGTGTGTGCGTGTGCGTGTGCGCGCAGATTACAAACTGCTGGGCATCCTGAAAAGGCAGTTCCCCAAAGTCCCACTGCTCGGGCTCACAGCCACAGCAACCAGCAGCGTCCTCAAGGACTGCGAGAAGATCCTGTGTGTGCCGCAGCCAATCACACTCACTGCATCCTTCAACCGAACCAATCTCTACTACGAGGTGGTAACCATGGCAGCCACACTCTCTCTCTCTCTCTCACACACACACACACACACACACACACACACCTTTCAGCCACCTGCTCCATACACAAACAACACTCAGCACACACCTGCTAACACACCTGTCTGACCTTCCATCTGCACTGCCTAACGTCTGCTTAAAACCCATGAAAGACCATACTGCTGCTTTAGCATGTTTAGCCTATTATATAAAAAAATACTGTAATCCATAATTACTACCTCACATCTGTCAGTCTCACAGCACGATAGAAAGTGTTACTGTGACACTAACATTCTGCTTGTTTCTCAGGTTCGTATTAAAGATTCTGACATTGACGCATCAATAAGTGACATCGCCTCTCTGATCAAGAACAGATACAAGGACCAGTCAGGTACTGAGGACAGAAGAAAAGCAGATATAATGCATCACATTAGGGCTGAGACCTTTACAGTGATTTTCTTCGACGTGTGCCACAGGGATCGTGTATGTGTTCTCTCAGAAGGATGCAGAGTCTGTGTCATCTGAGCTCCAGAAGAGAGACATCCTGGCCTACCCCTACCACGGTAACATGGACCCTAATGATAAGTCCCGTGTTCACCGCAAGTGGACCTCCAACAAAATCCAGGTATTTAGTTTATGGTGACTGAGACGATCACAGTGAAGGAAGATGATGTCTTCGTCCTCTGATCCCACCGAATGGTTCAGTAAATAAATGTAGGAACAATGTGGTTGTTTTTTTAACATAGAGTCTAGCACATCACATATCTAAGTACTCAGCTGTCATTGGAGCGTGGACCTGGAGTCTTAGGAAGGGTCAATTGTTTCAGTTCTACATAAAATTGTATAATGTATGTGTGTATGCAATTGTATGTAAACAGCATGCATTAACTACAATATTGAGTTAAAAACTGAAGTATGATGAGGGCTGCACATGTGGCTGCCTATAATAGAAAAGAAATAAACGCCTACTGGTGTACATGTTACAGTACTTGCTCGTGTTGTCCTCTAGGTGGTGGTAGCCACAGTGGCGTTTGGCATGGGCATCGACAAGCCTGACGTCAGGTTCGTAATCCACCATACCATCAGCAAGTCCATTGAGAACTACTACCAAGAGAGTGGACGCGCAGGTAGACACTGTTTCACTTGTAGTTTATACTGCTGGAGTATTCCTGCAGGTACACCACGTTAAAATCCTTCTGCCTGTGTCTCCAGGTCGAGACGACAGTCCAGCAGACTGCATCGTCTACTTTGGCTTCTCTGACATCTTCAGGATCAGCACCATGGTGGTGATGGAGAACGTTGGCCAGCAGAAGCTGAGGCAGATGGTTGACTACTGCCAGAATGTTGACAGGTAGCACACACACACTCTCAGTACTTCACACAGTTTAATGGGTTACACACCATGACCTTAATGTGTATTGAGCCTCACGTTTACTGTGTGAAGGTGTCGTCGCTCTCTTATGGCTGTTCATTTTGATGAGGTGTGGGACGATGAAGGATGCAATCAGATGTGCGATACTTGCCGCCATGCAAAAGGTGGGTTATGTGTATGTGATGTGTTTTAATGATATAAGGTATTCTTTAGACTGGTAAAAAAAAAGTCAGTGATCCCCTGACCTCTACCTCTCCAGACTTTACCTCAGTGGACATTACCCAGTATGGCAGGCAGGTGGTGCAGATCGTGGAGCTCGCAGCGTCCATGGAGGAGAAGCTGACTCCTCTGAAGCTGGTGGAGGCGTGGATGGGGAAAGGCCCAGCCAAGCGCAGGAAGATGATCCAGACCACCACGCTGCCTCGACTGCAGGCTGAAGCTGTAATCGTGCGACTGCTGCTGCAGGAATATCTCAGGTCAGTCATCATGTTCTGCTGTTTGTATTCAGTTTGTTAGGATTGGTACATTATTTACTGCTTCAAATGTGTTCTTATTATTAGAAGGATCTATTTTACTGTGCACTCGTTCAACTTGAGTCCTTATATTGGCCCAAAAGATGCTCTGTGCTTTGTCTTGTAACGTCAGTGGTGCATTCTGGATTAAAAGCTCTTTTTGCTGCCTGCTTTTGTCTTTTAAGAGCACTCCTAGTAAAATTGTTTTTCTCCGACTGTCTGTCATCTTGACTCCCCTGTATGTGTGTCTGAGTCAAGTTGCAGTGCTTATCAAAATGCACAGATTCGATTGGTGTAGTAGCGTCACGATTTGCATGCAATTGGTCTGGGAGTTTTCTGGACTGCCGGGTGCAGTTTTCAAATTTTGTGTCCTAGCAAGGTCTAGGAGGTGGAAGGACAGTTGATTTATAACTTTAACAACAGAAAAGAAACTCTCAGCTATTGTCTGGTTCATATGCTCTCTGGAGTCCATACTATTCTAACAAAAGATCATTTTATCAGAAGAAACAACACTCTTTGTAACTTTGTTTGAAAGTCACTGGACACATAATGAGGACCAGTTGATTTTATTCCCCATGTTTCACTAGTGAAGACTTGGGTTGAAAATCTTTTTTGTTTGTTTTTATTTTTTTAATACCTTTGGTACTTCAACTGCTAATGAATGATACTATTGTATTGTTTTAAACATGTGGTATTGACAACCTTACAGTTATCCACTAATTATTGTCTGATATTAATGGATGTAATTGTTGATCAACACACTGTGGGACAGTTTAGACTCATGTTAGTCTTCCCTGTCTGCTGTTCAGAGAGGATTTCAGCTTCACTCCGTACACCACCTACTTCTACGTGAAGCTGGGCCGCAAAGCTCCTCTGTTGAAGAGCCAGACACACACAGTCAGCATGAAGATGAGGACAACAGGGAGCGGATCTGCTGTGGTGAGTAAAGGCTGTTCATTGTCATTACAAACTGTTCCACTCGTCTTTAATCATGATATCATTGTCATTGAGGAGGGGGATTTTAAAACTCAAGCTCAACTTTGGCCAAAATTAAATCAAAGATTATACAGGAATATTTCATTTTTCCAAATTTCTCAAACTCTATTACCAAGCAAGTTACTCTGGCTGTACTTCCCTTTATGTGCTCTTGTACTTAAAACAGCCTCTCCCCGGTTACCATTGGGTGATATGAATGAAAACAGAAGGGTGCCAGGTTAGCTCAGTCGGTAAAGCTGACCCATGTACGAGGTTGCTGCAGTGGCTCAGGTTCGAATCCGACCTGCGGCCCTTTGCTGTGTGTCATCCCCTCTCTCTACCCCCCTTTCCTGTCCATCTTTGGCTGTCACTATAGTAAAAGCAATAAAAGCCCAAAAAAATAAAAATAACTAACTTTAAAAACAGAAGCATATGATTTTTTTCAAAAGTTGGTATTTGAATTTAGAATTTTCTGGATGCAGGTTTAGGGTCAGATGGCAGCTCACATTTAGAATTTTTCACCCATGATTCCATTTTCATTAAAGCAGGTGAGCAAATAACATGTTTCAGGCTCTTCTCTTCAGTGCTCTACTAAACCCTTTTCCAGCATTATAAATATTATAATATTGCCCAACCCTACTCTATGTAAAGTAGAATAATATAAAGTGAACATCTGACTTGGTTCAAATTTTGAACTTTTGCAGCTTTTACATTTAAATCCACGGTTGAGGTAATTAGTTCCTTTCAGAAAATGTAAACTGACTTGAAGGAGTCTAACGTTGCGTTCCCACCAAAGCAAAGCGAAAATAAACATATGTTTCTGTGATTGTCAATAAACATCTAGATGGTCTGAATTAATACTTTTTCGGGTCTGTGCACAAGACGCCGAGCAAGCAACTTTTAAAATGCTTATTTTCTGAATGGAATTTGAGTTTATCAGGACTATACGAACTTAGTGTATAATAAACTAAAACTGATAGCTGGAATCATGTAACAGACACAGATTCCAACACTCGCCAAGTAGGCCACTTTCCTTCTTTACTTTTCTCCAAGCAGTCTCCTTTTCTGTCCGGTCTCGGTATAAATATGAAGTAGTATCATAGAGCTCCGGGTGCACACAGACGGATACAAGTGGCTCGCAGCAGACAGGTTGAGAACAGAGAGTGAATATAAATCTACTTTCTCAAAAGTTTCAAAAATAAACTCAGAGCTCTCCTCTTGCTGGTTAAGGTCTCCAGATCAGTGTGACTACGGCTTTTTATTCCTCCAGAAGCTCTGGCTCTCTTCTGCAGCAGCTCTGTCTCTCTGCTCCTTCCCATACAACACAGCTCAAAGTTCAGTATTTTGAACTCGCGCAGAATGTCGAATGGGACAAATTTCGTGTTTATCTGCATCTTTGTTTTTGACTTTGTATGTAATCTATTCATGCAAATACCTTTAATTCCCTTTGGTGGGAATGCACCATCAACCTGATCGTGTTTACAAAAAACCCACCGTTTTCTAAAATATTTGAGCCAGCCTGGTAGTTCACATGAGTTCTTTAGCAAAGTGATAGTAGACTTTAGTAGAGTCCAGATGATACTAGAGTTGTAAAGCAAACAATACTTTTTGTAAAAACATTCAGATTTTGGTACAAATGTACATTTAATGCTTTTCTCTGCCAGTGTACTACTGTAAACAGTTCAGCACACATATTGGCCACCATATACTGAAAAAAACATTCATCTGTCACAGAAATATTGTGAGTACAGTAGCTGTTGGACTCGTCTCTTTAGTGCTCCACTAAGCAATATTTGTCTGTATCTCCTGTGTTTGTGTATTAATGTGATTTTTCTTCCAGTCCTCTCTGTTCTCTTTGTGAAGTCTCTAACCAGTTTCTACTCCTTCCAATGTGTGGCTGATGTGTCTTTCCTCCGTGTCATTTTAAAAATGCTTTCACACATTTTGTAATTGTGTCTAAAAACCCATAGAGGTAAGTCAGAATTGAAGCTAAATGTTGTGATTTTTACACGCACACTGATAATCATTAAGCCTAAACAAAGGCCTAGATTTTTGTATTTTCATTTTTAAGGCCTAACAATCTCTAAAAGAAAAATAACCTTCACCCCACTACCCCACATCTGCTGATCATTACCACCCTAACATGATAAATCATAGAAATAGTAGTAGTTGATAGTAGATTCCATTGATACTCAGCATAGAAGAAAATACACTATATTCTTTTGTTTTTCTGTTTTGTTGCTTAACTTTTTAAAAAAAGAATTGTTGTTTAGACCTGTTAAGTAATTTTTTATAATCCTTTTATTGAATGAACATTTGCTGAAATGACTCAGATCAATTTAACACAGTTGTTAGTTTTGGCCCTAGACTTGCATTTGCTGCATTAAATACTGGTAGTGCAAAGGTCCTCAGGAAGGTCATTGGACTCAAGTGGAAAACTTAAAATCATCAGCTCAGGCCTGAAAAATGTTCCATGTGTATCTGGAAAGATTGAGCAAGGAACGTTGATGATGATGTCATCCCCCGCCTTGGCTGCTGTGACAATGAATGGACGATTCTGTCATTTGTCCCCATCCAGACTTGAGTGTCCCATGTCCTCCCCTCTAGCTTCCCCTTGTCCGATCCACGTTGGTCCTTGAACCCTCCCAGGTAAAGACTGTTGTTAATGACCCGCAGGTAAAAGCTGCGAGTGGCCAGGGCAAAGCCAAAGAAGGAAAGAGATCAGTTCAAAGTGATGGAGACGCCCCAGCGTCCAAGAAAGTCAAGACAGGCCTCCCATAACCCCCCCCATCCTGTCCAGAAGACAAGCTGACAAAGTACAGTCCATCATTCTTTCTTCTGTTTACTACTGCTTCTGTTGGCATTGCACTGACCAGACTTTAACTTCACCTCTCACAATCGGATCAGACTGCTGGAGGATGAATATTTCATTTCAGCTGCTTTTATAAGCTGTAAAATAATAAGCATGGTATCATCTAACCAGCAGGCTTGGGCGATAAAAGGCCATTATTGATCATTTGATTGCATGAAATGTGACAGTCATTGCAAGAAAATACATGCTCAACTAAACTACTGCATCTTCATTTATACTGCTAATGAGTGCAGGGTGCTCTACGCTCACTAGCTCTCTAGCTTGCTCCTGCTACAATTATTGCCATGGTCTTTTTTAAGATGCACAACTTGATGTTATAAAATAGATTCACGTTCCATGCACATCACAAATGTATATACCTAGCTAAACTTTAAATGGGATTCAGCAGCAAGTTTCCTTATACTGCCATTAGATTCTTATTTGAAAATGTATAAACTGGGGCTGTCACTTTTATAGAAAACAACAAAACAACAATGTTCTGTAAAGAAGTAACACGTAATTTGTTGGAATTAAACGTACAGTATGTAATTTGTGCGACTACGGGGTTTCTCACATTCAAATTGTAACAAAAGACAAAGTTTGGTGACGTTGTAAACTAGTGTGGGATTATGGGAGTTGTTGTCTTCACCACCATTGCCGTCATTGCAGTCAGCTTCTCCCGGTTAGGATTCCTTCAGTGTTCATGGTTCAGGAGGTTTCTACCGGGAGCCCAATGATCCACAGAGGTCTCCTCCTCTCCAAAACAAACAGACCCGCTGATTAAAACCACTAAACACACTGAATAAAGCAGTTCCACCTTAACAATCACTGCTTCTCCCACGCTGTTGGACAGACAAAGGACGTCCCGGAGGGGCTGCGAGCCGGGCTGCTGCTAACGTTAGCTCAGCTTGTTTCTCTGATAACTTAAGATCCAGACGTCCGATGACTAAAATCCTTCATCCGGTTCAAATCTAGAGTTAAAAAGCACCAAGATCTAAACAGTGGATGGTAACAATGTGGCTTCAGACACTGACGCAGGCACAAAGGGGATATGACGCCATCGACAGGCGACCAGTGAAACGCAGCATTACCTGAATAAAAAGACAGATTTTGAACATTGCTGGAAACATTTGGGATAATGAAGTAACTACATATAGATCATAGCTCTAGAGTTTATAGACATTTTAATGCAGAAATGTTGCAGATTATAGTATAGCTTGAATGAGAATGCTATTTAGGTAGTCTAATACACTACATACAAACATTCATTTTATATCGTATATTCATTGTTGGGGTCTCTGCTGCCTCACTGAGTGACCAGCTAACAGCCGGTGGCGATTTGTTGCCGTGGTAATGTTGCGATTAGCAGTTCAGCATGGCACATTAGTTTCCTCCATTTTGAGTGAACTAAGAGAACAATCGGTTGGTTTACTGACAGGAACAGGTCTTGCATTAGATCAGAGTGGCAGTGCAGTATACCAATTCCCCACACTAGAGTACAATACAGCCTGTTTCACTTGTACACTCAACTCGAATGCGGAGTAGAATATTTAAAGTTTTGTTTAAGTTGAATTTTGAATAGAAAGTGACAGCCCTATGACACTGTAGGCTTTTTGTCTTCTGACTCTGACAATACTGACTGTTGTAAAATTCTAGTATCGCCCAAGCCTATTACTCATGATCACTGGTGTCCATCCTCCGGAGCATGCTGCCACTAACTGTCACTAACATTTCATCCCACCGCCTCTGCTAATATGGTTGTTTTTTTTCTCACTGACTACATAGGTAGGTGGGCTAAACTGTACATTATGTTTTATTTATTTTATATTACTGAATGTATTTTAGTTACATATTGTGGTGACTGATATAACTAGGGTTTATATCAGTATCTACTGTTCACTCACACTAGTTTTCATGGTTACAGGACACATCCGCTGGGGATGTGGAGGAGGGGACTGATGTGACCTTTGACCTCATTGTCATGGACAACAGCTGTCCCCCCCAACCCAAACAGAAACTATTTAAAGAACAGAGGAATCTGTCCAGGAAACAAGATCTGAAACCAGTTAGCCAGACAGACAAACAGACAGAGAAGACAAAGAAACAGCTGGCAGAGGGACACGAAGAGGAGGATAGGAGATCCATCCTGCCTCAACACGCAATTGAGGTTGATGTTGAAATTAACATTATAGATAACAGTGATGGTCAGAAAACACCGTCACATCCAGTTAAACCTTGTTCCAAACGCAAATCCACCACCCCTCAGAGAGCGAGGAGGAAACCCCGTGCTGACGCAGCAGCAGGTGTTCCCTCTCCGTCCCCAGGCGGCGACGCAGCCACCAGCACCGTGCCAAGCTCCCCGTCGCAGGCCTCCATCATCTCCGAGACCGCGGTCGAGGAGCTCTGCAACCTGAGGAACTACTACAGTAGACAGCTCAGGAGAATTAACTATATTTCCCAGGAGTACCTGGGGCAGCCCGCAGAGCCAGGAGTGCTGGCGTGCATCAGGGAGCCTCTGAGGAGCCTTCGTCTGCCCCGCAGGGCAACCATCGCCCAGACGGCCCGCAGCCTGTGGACTCGAGTCAGCGGCAGGAGGAAGCTGGTACACAGATGACATCGACTCAATCAGCTGCACTTAGATTTGATGTTGGTAGTGTTTTATCATGAAACGTTTGTGAATGTCTGCTAACAAAAAGACCACTATGTGTTTGAGTTTGGAGCCACCTGGTGGTTGTACCTGGTGGCTTCCAACCCCAGTCACCCCACAGATCTGACCTGGGAACATTGAGATGAATGGACTTAAAGCAACACAGAGTTCAGCCTGCAGGTCACAGTGACCCAAATCAGATTTTTATGCTCTGATGTGACTCCCATCTGATTTTGTCATGTGAGCAGCACAGATCACATGGAATCTGATCTTTTCAACTCTCATATGTGGTCCAAATCAGATAGAGTTTTTGTAGTGTGACCTCAATGTGAACAGTCATATCAGATTTCATGTAAGTGTTAGGGGTTCCCGGTAGCTCACCTGGTAGAGTGTGTGCCCTTTACTGCATGTCACCTTCCCTCTCACTCCTGCCTTTCCTGTCTGTCTTCTCTTGGTAAAGGCATAAAAATATCTTGGAAAAAGAATTCATGTGACTTCTATGCCACTCTAGATGTACGATCATCATCGTCATTCACACTGAAATCTAATATGAGTCACATTCAAAAAGTAATGTGAACAGCCAAACAAAAAAGATCACATCTGAGCTATAAATCAGAATTGAGTGCTAAGGCTTGCAGTGTGAATTTAGCCATAATGTGAGTGTGTTTTAGTTACAATAACATATGCTATGAGAATTGCGATAGAGATGTGCACATGGTAGCTTTAAATGCCCTTCACAGGCTAATATTATGTCTCATACCTCAACTGCTGTGTTACCAATTGATGAATGTCTTCATGAATGAAGTTCTGGACCCCGATTTAACACTGTACCTCACTTTTCTGTCATTTATGTTATAGGAAAATCTATCAACTAATTAAATTAAAACGGGGGAGGATTTAGATCACAGATTGAGATTGATTTGGGGCATTTGGAAAGAATTGGGATGAATATACAAACACGCAGTTGTGTGTATGTGGGATTGAGTCAAAATAAACTACAGTGTGTGTGTTCATAGTAATGAAGGAACAACAGTGTGACTCACTTATGTGTTTTTTAATCATTTTTGAGAACAATGAAGTTCTATATGGCACAGAGGAAGATCTATCAGGCTTTGATACACACAGTACTTGGTGGTAGATACATTCAGTGTTAGTTCGGGCTTTTTGTGGGGTTAATTAATAACAATATATAGTTTATCCCAAGAGTTATTCTATAAAGACTAATAAACAAGCTGAACCTGTTCCTACCTGCTGCAGCTGGTCTGCAGCACCATCCCCTGTCAGAGCTGTGTACCTGCAGTCTCATCCAGAGCCACAGACGATCAGGCCCTGGTGCTTTCTGGCTTCCAAACACAGTTACTGCCTTATTATCATTTTGACACATATACTCCCAATCTGAAGCAGCAGTGTGGATTATGTGATCATCCTCTTCTTCGTTTGATATGACTGTTTGTAGGGTAGCACAACAAATCTAATGAGCAAACAGTGAAGGAGACTTGTGGCGCTGCTGTGTGAGGAGAGCGGCTCAATGCGTCTCGATAAAGCCCCGATAACACTGAGTTCATTAAGAGGCCAACCGCCTCCAGAACACTGATAAGAGCTGCAGTCGACAGTCCAACTTTAGGAAGTAGAAGGAGTCAAGAAAAGGTGTGAAACATGAAAAACACTGGCACTGACAGCTCTGGATGTACACACGAAGCATGAGCAGAATCAATCATAAGTGTCGAAATTGAATCAATTAAACAATATCACCAGACTGACACATGACAACATTTGGGTTTGACATTAAAAGATGAACATGAGACAAGAGATCCAACATTTCAGCTTTTATCTTCAGGTATTTACATCTGGATCTGATACACAACTTAGAAGGTAGCACCTTTTGTTTGAACCAATCCATTTTTCATGTGAGCAAAAGTATTGAAACATGTGATTGACAGGTGTGTTTTTGAATGTCTACGCTCAGTTTCAGATTTGGGTTTTGCCTGTGCAGACTGCATTCATAGTTAGAGGTGTAACCAACATGAAAACCAGAGAGCTGGCTATGGGTGAAAAACAAGCAATTGTGACTCTGAGAGAAGATGGAAAATCAACCAGAGCCATTGCACAAGCATTGGTCATAGCCAGTACAACCATTTGGAATGTCCTGAAGAAGAAAGAAACCACTGGTGTACCAAGTAACAGACGTCGAACGGGTAGACCAAGGAAAACAGCAGCAGTTGATGACAAACACTGTGAGAGCTGTAAATAAAAGATCCCTAAACTGTTAGTGACATCAGCAAGAACCTCTAGAGGGCAGGAGTGAAGGTATCGCAATCTACAGTTCGCAGAAGACTTCATGAACAAAAATACAGAGGCTACACCAAAAGATGCAAACCACTCATTAGCAAGAAGAAAAGGAAGGCCAGGCTGGAATTTGCCAAAAAGTACAGAAACGAGCCTCAAAGATTCTGGGACAAAGTTTTACAGACTGATGAGACAAAGATAACCTTTAGCAAAGTGATGGAAAGGCTAAAGTTTGGAGAAAGAAAGGATCTGCTCATGATCTCAAACATACAAGCTCATCTGTGAAACACAATGGAGGTAATGTCATGGCTTGGGTTTGCATGGTTTCGTCTGGGACGGGCTCATTAATCTTCATTGGTGATGTAACACATGGTGGTAGCAGCAAAATGAACTCAGAAGTCTACAGAAACATTTTGTCTGCCAATTTAAAGAAAAGTGCAACCAAACTGATTGGGAAGTCATTCATCATGCAGCAAGATAAAGACCCAATACACACACAAAAAAGGAGTTCAGCAGGTGTAAGAAGTGGATGGTTTTAGACTGGCCATGTTGATCTATACGTATAATTTCGAGAAACTTGTACTTTACTTGAATATTGCCATTTAATGCTACTGTACATGAATATTTCCATTCTATGCTATTTTACACTGCCACTCCACTACATTTCACAGGACAATATTGTACTTTTAAATCCACTACATTTATTTTATCAGCTAGAGTTACTAGTTACTTTTCAGATTAAGATTTTATAAGAACAAACTTATGATAAGCAGATAAAATACAATGCCTTATTAAAAAGTAAACCAGTTGTTCCCAACTTTTTTGGCTTGTGCAGTTGTTAAATTTCTTTCTAGTTTCATTTAAATGACTTTTTGAGGCCCAACAAGTAAAATATTATATTATTATTATTATTATTATTATTATCCAATATTTCACAAAAAATGTAAGTACAACAAAATGAACAACACAGACAACAAAATGAATGCAGATAGCATCATTTTGTTTTTTTGTTTGTCAAATTTATCTTGTGACCCTTTGAAGGAGGCCGACCCCTATGTTGAGATGTAAAGTAGTTTAAAGTATCTACAACTCAGCTGGCTACAGTACTAAAATTCCAAATGCGCATTAATGCAGTCATCTAATATATCACCCAAAAGGGTCATTTAATGCTAAATGAATCCTGTTACTTTTGATACTTTAAGTACATTTTGCAGATAATACTTTTATACTTTTAGTATAAGTAGGATTTTGAATGCAGGCTTTAATATATAATGGAGCTCTTTTACATTGATGCAGTAGTACTTTTACTGAAGTAATGGATCGAGTACTTCGTCAAAACACCTAGTAAAAAGTTAGTAATCTGGAATGTTTCTGTAACGTAAAAAGTTAGTGCCACAATTACTAGAAAAAGCAGCTTAATCAAGATTAGGAGGATCTATTGGAAGAAATGGAATATAATATTCATATATGGTATGTTTACATTAGTGTATAATCACCTGAAAATAAGAATGGTTGTATTTTTGTTACCTTAGAATGAGCTGTTTCTATCTACAGAGGGAGTGGGTCAAGGGGAGGGTGAAACCAGGGAGTTTTAAACTGTAACTACAGCAATGGCACTAAATCCTACACGCTGGTCCTTTAAGTTCTAAGACAAGTACCTTTCAGTATAAAGGCTCAGGCTGTATAGAAAACACCCACACAGAGTATAATACCCCCCATTCTGTATGTGTCTCCTCTGCTGCTCTCGATATCAGCTCTGCATGCATCTGATCCTGGAATAAAAGACATGCTGTGGTGGAACCAGGGACACCAAGGGAGCTTCTAGACAGGGCTGAGTGTCTATCCAGAAGGGCTGGAGGTGAGCACGGTAAGCTGGAGCCAAGAGCAGGAGGTGTGTGCTCTGTACAGGGAGCAGACTGCCAACAGAGAGCCAGGTGTTGAGACAGTCATGCTGATACGTGGGCTCCTGCTGGTTCAGGATCTGCTGCTGGATTGGTTCTCCCTTCCACATCCATCTCTAGTCCTCCTCTGCGGTTCTGCACCCAAATTTGGTGAAAGGAATCCAAAACAGAGCTGGTCAGTGATTTACTACGACACTCACTTTATGAAGAGTCCAGACTTAAAGAGGACTCTCTTTAGCTTCTCTATGACTGGCACATTCATTTATCCTCTCCTCTCCTCTCCTCTCCTCTCCTCTCCTCTCCTACCTGGCTCTGGTTCTCAGACAGTCTGGTGCAGGAGGCCAGCAGCTCACTCGTCTGGATCTTTGGGTAGTGACTATGCTCAAACGCTCTATCCAGCTCCTCTAACTGATGGGAGCTGAAAGTCGTCCTCACTCTCTGATGATGGACGCTGTCAGCTGCAAACACACACACACACACACACACACACACACACACACACACACACACACACACACACACACACACACACACACACACACACACACACACACACACACACACACACACACACACACACACACACACACACACACACACACTCACACATGTGACTTCAGCTGTGTGTTTCATTTATCCAGCACTGATCTTATTTACATAAATATACATAATCAGTGTGCATTAGTCTGTTCATGCAGCACTAACTTCCCACACACTTTTCTAATTACTTTTTGTGCCGCTTTCTTTCTCCTATTCATCCACACACAACAGCACACAATGCAATTCCCCAAACTGTATTTAGTGTGGATGGTGCATCCAGCATGGCGCCTCCAATGAATAACTAATGAGATGGATTTTTGGAATCAGCTTCAAAGAGAATCATGTAGAACGCAGGAGCAAACACACTCCCCAGAGTGTGTTTAATAACTAGCTTTAACACACATGTCTGTCTGTCTGTCTGTCTGGAACTTTCTGTCTGTTCTGTTTCTGGTTCTGTCTGTGATGTTGCATCAGTCACACTGGAAGAAAAGTCAAAGTGAGTTCCCACTGAGTGTTTGACTAATTCATTAGCTTTAACTCTCCTGCTGGGTGATTGACTATTGACAAAAGTCACTGGACAGACAGACAGTCAGCAGAAGAAGACTGACTGCTGGCTGTTTGTCTACTCACCCTAAACAGACTGACTGCAGATGTTAGCTCTAAGTACCCACTGATTGTGTGTGTGTGTGTGTGTGTGTGTGTGTGTGTGTGTGTGTGTGTGTGTGTGTGTGTGGAACTGTTGGAACCACATGCAAAAACAATGCACAGAAAACATGCATACAGCATTTCCCACACATTTAGAATTAGATTTAGAAAAAGAAGAATGTGGGGTGAGTGTGTGCACACAGCTTATGCAGATCACCATACACAGTTTTCTAGAGGTAGGTGCAGCTAATATGATAAGAGATTATATTTAAGGTGACACACTGATCCTTTAAGCAGAATTGGCCTTAAATTTCCCTCACACAGACACTCACTTTTTATCCATTCCTCCTCACATTCCATTCTCCTATTCAGACAATACAATACAAACATTTTACATTTACGCAATAAAACAATGTAGTTTTTTTAAATATTTTATTTCACTGTAGTTGACATAAAGAATGGCTTATATTGTCTGTCCTTAAGACCCAGAAATTCATATTTGTCCTCTTTGGGGGACATGACACTGTGGCCCTATTTCAAACACCATGCTCGCAGTCTAATTGAGTCACAATGTCCACATCTGCTGTCTTCTCAAAAAAGATATACCGGTATTGTTTCTGTTCTTCATATGGACGTTTTTTATTTCCGAAAGTCTTTTCATATTATATTAGGGTTTTAGAAATGTACAGTATGTTCATTTTGAGCCACGCCCTTTGTGGGGGACAGCGGGGCTTGTATCTTGTCACTTTTAACAGTTTTCCATTGTCCAGGAAAGAGAGGTGATTAAATGTCCAGTGTGAAGGATTTAGTGGCATCTAGAGCTTTAGTTACAGATTGCAACTCCCTCGCTTCACCCTCCCCCTTCCAAGCTGGGAGAGAAACAACACTGGCTGTGAAACATGCTGACAGAAGCTGACCCAGTATCTGTAGATACAGCTAATTCTAAGGTAACAAAAACACAACGATACCTATGAATATTCAGTTAGTCAGTCTGCATGTGGAATCATCATGTGCTTTCAACATCTGATCCAGCACTCACCTCCTGCTCTTTAGGTCTTATTGCTTTGACCCCGTCGCACCTTCACTCCTTTTCCTCCCTGGTGTCTCCCCCTCTGCATCTCCCCCTCCTCTCTTCCTTGCCCAGGATCTTGTCTATGGAGTGTGACAGAACCTCTGAGGCCTCAGGTTTGCCATCCCCACAGATCCCCGCTGTGTTTCACCTTCTGACACCTGACGGCGAGGCACCAGTACCTGCACAAATCAACACTCCACAGGAGGTGACGAGCACACAGAGATAATTCTCTCTTCCACAGTCTGACAACGGTTGATCTCTGTTTTACGTTGCATCCTCCTGTATCTTGATGTTTGAGAGGATTTCTTCACGTTTTGATCTGTTGTTTTCTAAATTCCTTCTGTTTTTGTGCCGTCTCTCTTTTCTTCCTCCAGTATTTCTCCTAGCTGCCTCAGGAGGCTGCTGGCAGACACGCTGTATGCTGGAACTGTCAACACCACAAACTCTCTTAAAGGTAGATGAAGCTGCTGTGGTGATGCGAGGCAAATGACACACACACACACACACACACATACACATACACACAGCCTGTGTACACATTGCTGAACCCTGTGTACACTTCGTCTTTTGACAGTCATTAATGAGATGAATCCATACGCTAAGATAACAAGTCCCCATGTGTGGATCATAAAACAGCCGCTGCAGTCATCATCCACTCATCAGTTACTCTCATATGTATAATTCTTTAGACAGAAAATGACTATGTATTGTTAACCACGTGTTGAACATCAACGCGTGTTTGTGATGATGAATGTGTAACATACAAGGAAGTCCACAAGAAAGGTAATGGATTCTCGCCACAATTCAAAGCACACTGAACTTCTGAAGTATAAAAGTTAAAATCCTTTAATATTGATCAGACCAATCACCTCCTAGACCCAGATCAGAACAACTCTAGTTCTATTTAGAACATGGGTTAGTGGTGCACTTCGGCCTCTTGTGACTAAAATGAAAGTTACAATAACAAACATGATGATCCAGAAAAACTATATTTTTCACTTTTGTTTTTACAGATTAAGTAACATAGAAAAGTGTAGGATATAGTGGCATCTAGCAATGTAGCTGCTGATTGTGTAAGTCTGTAAATGCGTACATAAATCTCTAAATGTGTAGACAAATCTGTAAATGCAGACAAACATATTATTGGCTGAGAAGTATTTGCTCAAAGAACAGGAAATACAGACAACTTGTCAGTTACGACTCAGACGGGACTCTCAGTTAGCCCTTATACATGTGACCTTTGCTCCACTTGTGCCATGGCATTTATACATTTGTCTACACATTTACAAATCTGATTATGCCCACACAGATTCTGAACACACATTTGTAGATTCCCATACACATTCACACACCTCAGTACATATTTACAGATTCTTTTCAGATTACTTTTTTGCCCATTAAATTAGCATAAAATGGAACTTCATCTTTGGCACTGGCATATGTCCCAACAATGATACATAATATAACATCACACAATAATTCTATGTTACGGTAGAAAAGCTAAAGTGACTTTGTGGCAAGTGATGGGTGATGATATCAATCATCACAATAATGTATTATATAGAGCAGTAATACATAGCAGTTAAATGTATTTAAAAAATAATTTTAAAAATGGATATTACTTTTTTATTTTATACATTTACAAATCTGATAACGCACACACAACTCTCCACTAACATTTGTAAATAGGTTTGCTACAATAATGGCCCCATAGTATTGTCGTTGATTTCACCCCCTTAGTACCCCCGTACAGGACCCCCGCCACTCTGACTGACTGTGTCTACTGGTTGTTGTAGTTCTGTCAGACCACACATTGCTGCTGTGCAGCAGTTTGTTGTTGATTATGTGGCTTTATTGTTTTTGGCTGTTTGGAGCTCCAATGTCCAACTGTATTCATTTGCTTTCTATCCTTGGCTCCTTGTCCAGCTAAAGTCTTTTTATCCTTTGTCTGACAGAGGTTTGAGCAAGTTATTGGTATCCATGGTGCCAGTCATCTTTCTTCTTCTTCTTTTTGTGTTTGTCCTTGTTTCTTGTGAGGTTATCTGGTTGAAAAGCCTTGTTCTGAGAAACAGGAACTTACGTTTGCTGGCAACTGATGGCCTGTTTATGCCATGACTATTCTTTTTGTCCATTGTACATAAAATGGTAGGTGGACTGTCTTTATATTGTGTTTTTCTAGTCTACTGTCCACTCAAAGCACTTTACTACACATGCCAACATCTACCAAATCACACACACACATTGATGGCTGAGGCTGCCATGAAAGGTGCCATCTCATCAGCAGCAGTTACAGGATCAGTGATCAGTTCAGGTTCTGTGTGTTAAATTCAACATGTGGAGTTGAGAACATCAATATGTCAATACAGCCACAGATCATTAAGACGTCTTGTGTCCAAAACCAGTAATCTGACACATACACGTGTGTGTGTGTGTGTGTGTGTGTGTGTGTGTGTGTGTGTGTGTGTGCGTGCGTGCGTGTGTGTGTGTGTGTGTGTGGGTGTGTGTGGTGTGTGACGTGTGTGGGTGTGTGTGTGTGTGTGTGTGTGTCCTCTCTGTGAACCCCTGCACTGTGTTTCACCCTCTCTACAGATCTGTAGCTGTGTTGCAAGCCGACTGATCCCAGATCTGTGTCATAAGGGAAATCAGTCAGTAAACGCTCTGGTGATCTGTCTGGTGATGTTGTAGCACTTCCCTGTGGTCATCCAGCACAGAGCACAAGATGCTGAGCTCTTCTGCGCTGTGTGTGATTTGACCACTAGATGGAGCTGTTGCACACAGAACCCCCACAGAGCCTGTTGGCTGAAACCACAGACTTGATAAGGTTAGAGCAAGGAGGCAGCAGGATCTTCAGTGTTTGGTATTCCACTGCTGTGTATGTAAGTGCTTTGTATTTTAGGTGTATAAGAAAAAGCAGACAATCAGCACTGACTGCAGATGCAGTGAGATTCATCTCTCCATGACCCATAGGGAACTGCATTGGGACGTCTGATTCTGGTTCTGTGTTTTAATGACTTCTGCCAGCATCAGGGCTGAAATGCAACATACTCTATGATGTTGGATTCAAATGTCCACTTATTGGACTAGTACTAATAAGATTCAAACCAACCTTATGGCCATTTGCTTCCACAATTCCAGCTCCACACCCAAAAAACTGGTCACACAACAGTATGTCAACTTAAACCAGTATACCAGCACACCTCTAGTTTATATTTGGAGTTTGGCTATTGTCTGATGATGATTTATCCTCTGGGAGCCAATGTTTCAGGGCTTCTGGTGTAGCGGGATAATGGATATCTGGGGCAAAACTACCTCTGCAGTCCGATTACCTGAGACACTAGAATGACAACAGACACATTTTCAGATACCTGCATATAAATGCAAATACAATAAAAACAGCTTATAAAAAGCAAAATTGTCATCAGATGATTGCTGATGGGTTCCAAGATTACATTTCAACCAGCGCGTTCAATTCAGCAATAAGAGTCGGCTCTTTCAGCTTCCGAATGGCTCTTCATTTAACACCGCTTTTATAGTTCAGCCAATTTAGAAATGTTTTGATTTTTGATTAGTGTGTGTGCTCATATATCACTTACATTTCCCAAGGTACTTACAATTAACCTTAGAATACCATAATTTTAGACTGTGTTTGGTATTAAAAACCTTGAATAATGTAAATATCAAAAAACATTACACGTGTGTATTGAGAGTCACTGTCAACAACCAACTACCATTCTGAGATGGGTCATTTGTTAGGGGAAAGAAAGAAAGAAAGAAAGAAAGAAAGAAAGAAAGAAAGAAAGAAAGAAATTCTCAGTTAAAGAAGCAGATTACACAAATTACACATCACTAGAAACCAGAATGCTTCCGATGCTGAAATCTCAGTCCCTTGCCTTCAGATTCAGCGGTCATATACAGATATCTGCTTATAGAGATTAACAGCAGATTAGATTAAAATGGAATCAGTGCCGGGTCCATTTGGTTTGGGCATAACAAAACCTCCACAATGAAATGGAAAGAGCTGTAGAGAGAGAGACAGGTGTTCACCAGTCAGTGATAAAAGTAAGCAAAGGCAGAGATAGTCATTAATCACTGTGACTGCTGTGGACAGGACTGACTCCACCAGACACTGCAGCTCTACAATGTATGGCTACTGTATGCACACACACACACACACACACACACAGATAAAGATACAGTACAGTTTATCTCTGCGTCCTGAATGACCTCAGAGTGAGGCCTGTTCCCAAGCTCTTACATAACGCCTGATGCCGATCAATAACTACCAGCGCAGAGGGAGAGGTGTCGGCTGAAGCAGAGCGGCCCGTTGGGAGGATGAGACAGACCTTGATCAGGCCCGCCCGAGGGAGCGGCAGCCAACGGGGGGAAAAGGATTAGCATGGCTGTCACTAAATATGACATGGCATGCTAATTAGGCACGACTGGTTAGACAGATTAGCAGAGGCAGTCAACTGGGCAGTGAGTCACTCCACAAAAAAAAAAACATGCTGTCACACAGACGGCAAAATATTTAACCAAAAAGATTGCATTTATGTGTCTTCTATCCTAGGAGAGCACTGCAGAGTGCCTAAAATGCTCCCAAAAGTCAGTCCCTCCCGGATTAACGTGTTTTTTTGGGTTTGTTTTCATGAAAGCTTTTGTAACAAATTGCAATGCATGTTGCAATGTTTGTTTGTTTTTTATTTGAATTTATTGAATGGATAGCCCCTTGAGATGCAGCATCTCATTTTCATTTTTCATATTTTTGTCCTTATTTGAGAGGTCAGCTCAAGATAGACAGGAAAGAGGGAGAGAGAGATAGCGGGGGTGAAGAGCCACAAGTGTGTGAAGCATCAGCTCTACCAGGTGAGCTACCAGGGCACAACCATGTTGTGATGTAGGCATTTTTTTGCAATGAAATTGAGATAGACAGTGAAAATAGTTGCAATGGTTTTGTAAATTTCATTAAAAATCAAAGGCAGCTTGTTCCATAGAGAATAAAATCACAGACACGTTAAATTTGAGACAATGATTTTGCAGAAACAAGGAAGTGAGTTTTGTGACGTATGACTAAATGTTTTTGCACAGAAAACTACGATTGGTCAACTTTGCAGAAAAGTTGCAGTGATTGGACAAAACTGCAAGGTCGCACAGAATTATGGTGTCTGGTTGAATTTGCGTTTACTGCAAAAAAATCTGGATATTCAAGCCACCATGCTAATATTTGTGTACATCTTATCTCATTGACTACAAATTGCAATTTCATTTTTCAGCATACGAGTAGTTTTTTGGTTGATTTCCTAACTTCCATACAGCCATTGCTTTCAGATCATTTCAGTCTTAAATGAAAATCAACTTGCAGAAGTTTGAAACTTGAAACCAGATACTGAAATGCCCACTTGTTGCTATGGCTGTGTTTTACTTTTTGTGTCACAAGTTTAATGCTGTTAATACATTTCTAAAATTATTTAAAGTTAGTGACAAAACAGTAAAAAAAGAATGTTCTGTAATTTTACAAGGATTTCTTGTTGTTGAATAAATTTTTTTATCAATGTGTAAGGTACTGTCAAAATACAGTTTTTATCACTGTAAATGGCAATAATTACTGTAATTTTTTTACTGTTCTGTAACTTTTAAAATTCTGATTAAAGTAAGAAAAATCTAATTATAACAGCACTCTTCTGTAAATTCAAGCCTGATTATTTGTATTCAAAAGATTTTATGTCAAATTAAAGCAAAAAACTATTTTTTAATTATAGAAAATGACTGTATTTTTGAGTCCCAAAAATTGCCATTATTAATTTCTCTGTTTTGTCGTCAGCATACTGCAAAGTTATGAGTGTGCAAAGCCATGGTATAGCTTGCACACTGAGTAAAAGAAAGTCTCACCATGACCTGTAACCTATCCGGTGTTCCACGTGAATGCAATACATTCCTGCAGATGAGCAACAAGGACATTGACTCTCAACTGGAGTATAACATTTGACAAATAATAATCTGTAAATGTACTCCTGTTGGTATTTTTGTTCTGCTCATTAAACATAAAACAACTTTGACATTTGTACTGTTTGTGGCCTTTTAGCTTTGTAGCTCTGTCATTACACAAGCATTTCCTGAATAATGGAGTCACATTGCTGACAGGTATCCGCTGCAGTACAGTGGAGCTGATGTTGGAGGTCAGGTAGTGGAGCTGATGGAACCTGTTAGACAGAGAGCAGGGAACAGAAACCACCTGGAGAGGATTTAAAAGCCTCCTGAGAGCACACTGAGACTGGCTGCTAAAGCCCCGCAGAATCACACGTCTGTCAACGCAGTGCAAGTGTGTGTTTGTTCGAGAAAATATTCTCAAATCTCGGGATATTATTCAGGCTTGCTGAATAGAGTCCACTTTGACAGCAGTAAATATGACCTTTGCTTTTAACCATGAGTCTGTGTGTGTCACAAAGTGGCCTGTATGTGTGTGCGTGTGTGCATGAGCTTTATTATGTATGTAGGAGGAAGAATACTGCTAGGAATGGAGTGGGGGTGGTATACCTCTTTCTAACCAATGCTGCACATTGCATCCTAGGTTTCTGCCTCTTAACAGGCAGTTTTTCCTTGCCCCCATCGCCAAGGTCTTGCTCATGGTGGTACTGTTGGATCTCTGTAAATAATGTTATAAAGAGTTCGGTCTAGACCTGCTCTATTTGAAAAGTGTCCTGAGATAACTTCTGTTATGAATTGGCGCTATACAAATAAAATTGAATTGAATTGAATTGTTTGCACATTATTCCCTCTCAAAACACACAAAAAAACCTGCTGTCTGTTTTGGCTGCAATAAAAATTATAAGTTAATAACATAAAAATTCCAATTACACACAAAGTAGCACTAATCTATTTTAAAGTGGACCTATTGTGCTCATTTCCAGCTCTATATTCTTAGTCTGCCTCTAGAGTAGCTTTGCATGATTCACTCCTCAAAATCATTTTTATTTATCTTACACTAGCCCTTCATCCTATGTTTGAACCGAGCCCCCAGCCCCTCCCTAAAAGTCCACTTTCTGAAGGCTGCTGAAGGGCTATACCCAGTGCTTGTGAACGCTGCTTCGTCCTCTCTCCGGTGTGCTCTCCTGCCCACCTAGAGCCGGGGTCTGTCTGAGGTTTCTGCCTCTTAAAAGGAAGGTTTTCCTTGCCACTGTCCTATTAATAATTTTATTTGAGGTGCGGTCTAGACCTGCTCTATTTGAAAAGTGTCCTGAGATAACTTCTGTCATGATTTGCTGCTATACAAATAAAATTGAATTGCTCTCGACAGCATGACAGCTTCAGTAACTTAGTTCAGACAATAGCAATATGTGGCACTGAGTTTGATAAATGTACTGTTTATCTGACCACAAATGAGACAAGAAATAGGTTGGAAAAATGATCGAGGCCACAGAGCAGGCCTGATTTCTGGGGACTGGGTCTTATGGATTACTGTACAAAAGCACTGTCTTTATTCAGTGATTTTGGTGAAACTGGATAATATTTAAAAAATATTTTCTGATATTCCCCCTGCTCTGCCTCAATGACAATTTACAGAATTTCACGATGGAAATAATCTGTGAAAGTATCAGGTTCCTCTGGCTCCTAGTGCTCCTAAAGTCCACTGTGCCTGAACGACAACAGAAAATAGTTAATGGTTGATTCTCCGGTGGATTATTGTAAATCCCCATTAGGAGCACTAGGAGGAGCCAGAGGAACCTGATTTTTTCACAGATTATCTGTCTCATGTACTACTGTCAGGATATAGTGAAAGTTTCAGCAATATTAGTTAGCACTGCCTCACCTGTTACAGCAGTGAAGCCATGCTGATTCTGACAGCAGGTTCTTGCAACAGTTTTTTACTAACATTCAGAGCTTTCGTAATTACATCGCAGCTTTTTTGGCTTCTATTCTGAACCAATTTAGTAGACTACGACGATATTTGTCTGCAGAATGTGCAAAAAACGTTTCCACCTGCCAAAATGACTTT